CATAAACCTATCTACTAAGGTTAATAATCTTTATTACTATGTTTTACTATCAGCCGAATGTCGAGCCGATTTGAAGATGTGGCATATTTTTCTGAAACAGTGGCTTTGGGTGGTTACTTCAAGGGACATCGGTTTTGTAGTTCTTGTCCATCGGAATTATAATATATACTAGATTCTGATATGTCTATGGCTTTCCGGGAATTGTACCCAACCGCAGTGGCGGCAGTACTTTGGGGGCAATGATTGGACGAGGAAACGAAAAGTTATTGATTGTGATAGTGAATCTACTGTTAACATTATAAACAAAGGGCGATCAAGGGTGCAAGTTATTATGACACTAATGCGTAAACTCACTTGGTTAGCTGCAATTAACAATTTCACATTTTCAAGTAAGCATATCCCGGGTGTTAAAAATATGATTGCCGATGCACTTTCTCGATTTTATTTTCAGACGTTCAGGAAAGAATCTTCGGAAGCAAATGCACAAGTCACGATTTGTCCGCACTTCTCACTCGTAATGTGGAACTGACTAATACTTTAAGTTGTTTACTTAAAACTTCAATAGCACCCAAAACACGTACACAGTATGGGGGTGGGTATTCTGCCTATGACCCCTTCTCACGAATGACTGGAGTGATTTGGAGAAATTCAGACATGCTTCCGTTAACTGAAGAATCTCTAATTCACTTCGGTACGCATTAATTCAAAAACTTGCATTTGAAATGTTCTACAATTAAAATGCATTTATGTGGACGACGATGTGAATATATAGAGTTTAGGAAGCCTTCGATATTCAGCGACGGTTCTGATAAACTTGATCAACTCGATGCCTATATACGATACTAAATGATAGTAGTCAGTTTTTGAGGAAAGATTATTACACGCCGTATATAGACATTCTTTTGTAGGCAGCGCGTGTCACGGCATATTTTGGATTTCTTCGATGTTGTGAATTAACAGTATTATATTCTTTTGATTCAGAATGCAAGTGTGTATCGAAGATATTTGTTTTCAAAACGATAAAGTGACCTTTCATTTGAAAGCTTCCAATACAGACCCATTTCGTGAAAGTGTTGATATTCATTTATTTGCGTCTGGAATTTCGGATTCCCAAGTCTTATCTCTGGAACGTTACGAGGAATTTCGTAATGGAAAATTTAAAGAGGGTAACAAACACGACGTTTTCTTTGTGTTTGAGAATAGAAAAGCCTTTACACGAAACCATTTCATTTCTTCTCTGAAAAAGATACTTTCTGTACTTGGATACAATTCAAACTTGTATAATGGTCATAGCTTTCGCATTGGAGCTAGTACCACAACACGTTATACTCGATATATCAGAACATCTTTGTCAACCATCAAACAAGTTCAACAAGCATTAGCCGAGTGAAGATTTAGTTCTTAAATATTGTACCTAGGCATATATATTCGCATATGCTTGCATCGTGATTAATTATTGCGTTGGAGTGTTGGGGAATAATACATCCCGTACATGTATATAGTCTGATAATTCACACATGTCAGTTCATCGCCCTTTCGTGGTCAACGACAACATCATGTGCGTTTTTACTAAGTGTTTCAGGGGCATAATAATCCCCACTGTTAGTATCTGATATAGGTTCAAAGTGTATTTCGATAGTGTTGGGGCATAATAATCCCCATATTATGTAAAGATATGATAAATATTGAGGTATCATTGTCCTCATTGTGTCTACCTTGGTTATGTGTAAAAGTAATGGCTAAACATATATAATTTGTTAATTACCACAATCAATGACGTAACATTTTCATTGAATGAGACGATGATTAAACATTTGAGATCATGTTATTCAGTAAACACTCAACCTGTGACTTAACATTTCAGGACATTTCAATTCGTATTGGCAGGAAGTTTCTAAGAATAGTTGAATTTACAATTGATAACTGTTTCAGTAATGAATTAAAATCAAAGTGGAGCTGCTTCTGTGATTTTTTTTAAACAGTTAGAAAGCCTTTCTTCTGTAAAATTGTGGTGAGGACGAATAATAGATATACATTCACTTCGTAAGATTAATATTCATAAACACTCAACAAATCATTTCTTTATATATACTTTTTACAATGTCTTCTTTTTAACCAGTCCATATTTTCTAGCATGAATTAAAGTGAATGTCTGGTATACATCAGTAAGTCAATAAGCAATCGACCAGACTCCTAAAATGCTGGAATGGAGCAATTTAGAATGATTGACTCAGATTTGTGTCCCGTAAGTTTAATATATGTTTTGCGACATCGGGGTAATTACATTGATATTATAAAATAGAAGCAAAAGATAACAAAGGAATATTCAAACTTAGAAGTCAAAACGTACTGACAATGCCATGGCAGTATACATAACACAACATAGAAAACTATTAAAAACTTATTAGCACGATCCCCACCAATAAACCGAAGATGATCTCATATGCATGGCACCGTCGTGTTGCTCATGTAAGTTCTCTCTTTTTGTATATTTCGCCTCTCTCTTATATTTTGTGCTTTTAACATAGATTGACCAAAAATCCTGTCTGAACGTCAATAAGGTTTTTCCATGTCGTGAGACATTTTAGAAATGTCTGGAGATTTAAAGTTGAAATCTCAATGTGTATGCAGGGAATTATATTTCTATATTTGGGTTTTGGGAGGGGGTTGTGGACTTTGATTTTAAAACTTATTGAACTGTTGATAAAATGAGTCATTAGTGTATTGTGTGATAGGGTGGCAAAAAATAAACCAGATAACGTTTCTAGCAATCTACAAATAAGTCAAATATTGCCACAATTAATAATAGCTATATAGACTAATTATTGGAGTTATTAACCTGAAGAAACGTTATTCCTTTTTGTGTTTTGGACACAACTACTGGAGAGAAACTGTCAACAGAAAAAAAAGGATCAGCAATACAAGATCAACAAAAGAGGATTTTGAAAAGAATGTTATTCTAGTCCACAATGCTTGCGAGTGTTCAGTGTTGAAGATGCACAAATACCTAGGCGAACGACGCGTGTTCTTTGGTTAATTATTGCGAAAATTGGGACGGAATCCGTCAATTAAAATAAAATTTTTTTTTTTTTATAAATGTAGCATAGCCCGCACCATGTCATGAAATAGCAATAATAAATCTCGCTTTTTTGTCTATTGTTCAACTATGGCTATAATAAATGCACCCAAACATTTCTAAATGTACAGTATTCAGAAACATATTTGAATCGATAGTTTACGATGTAAAAATTTCCATACGTCTTGTCTACTTTTTATTAACCTGTATAGTATCAAGTTAAATTAAGAATGAAACGGCAAATGTGTCAAAGAGACAACAACTCGACCAAAGAGCAGAAAACAGCCAAAGGCCACTTATGGGTCTTCAACACAGAGAAAAATCTCGCACCCAGGAGCGGGTTTTCAGCTGGCCCCTAAACAAAATCTATACTAGTTCAGGGAAAATGGACGTGACACTGAACTGCGAAACATAAATGAACAAAAATTACATACAAGACTAACAAAGGCAAGAGGTTCCTGACACGGGCAAAAAAGCGGCGGGGTTAAACAATCCTTCTCCTATACCTCTACCCAATGTAGAAACAAACACACAGCAATACGCACAGTAAAACCCAGTTTAAAAGAAGTCCGAGTCTGATGTTAGAAAAGATAACAGAAGACACTAAGCAAAATCAAAATAATTCACATAAATTAACAAAGGACTACTAGCAGTTACTGACATGACAGCGCTAGACATCAATTACTCTGATTAAAAGATTATGTCTTCATCATATGAAGTGTCTTCCTGAATGTCGTTAACCACTGGTCATCTTGAAACTTCGAATAAAACCCAAAGTTTCCAAACGGTCAAACATATTTTGCTATTTCTTAAAAATACCACTAGAATTATAACATCAGCATACATTTGTAGAGTAATTTACAAAATGCAAAATCTTAACATGTTCAGGAGAAACTGGTGAATCGACCACATAACATTGTGGGCTACTACCAGTTATCTATTGGTTAAAAACAAAGTGCATGGGATTTTAAATTTTCATTTTGTATTGTTTCCCGGAATATCATTTGATTTTTTTTTGTTCACCTACTGTAATATATGTTATGTATATAGCATTAACATGGCAAGATTTAAAACTATTGTTCATCGGCTTCAGCATTCATCTTTTTTTTCTTCTTACAGGAATAAGAAATAAATAATTTTGTCTATTGTTCTGCACTGTATCTGAGCATTGGTTTCACTTAAAATTCATAACTTAGTATACATTGAACAGTAAAACTCCTATGAGATCCTTAAAACTAGTTAAATCAATGGGTAACATGATACTATTGGCGTAAGGAATTTTCGTATCGTGTATGCTTATGTCCTTTCAAAACAGGTTTTTTTTTAATAATGCACAGCGAATATGGCACAGAAATTCTACTCAATATCAATAATATCAGGCTGCATGATATAAAAGACAGAACATGATATATCTGATTTGGTTGCGTTTACTTTATTTTACCTGGACATGCTGCAATTTAAGTTAATACATTAAAATAAGTCTTGTTCATTATTCTCAAGAATTCGTTGTATAAACAGATTGGGACACCTGTTTATTGTAAAAGCTTTTATGCTGTCATTTAGTTTTCGTTTGATTATGTTTCTTGTTCCGTTTCTGTCTCATTGATATATAAGTCACTCCTCTTTTAATTTCAAGTTTAAAACTTATTAATTGACAGCGTAACTTAATTCGTAAATGGCAAAAGAAAATGAAAATAAACGGCAAATTGTTTTAGTTCGTGGCACTAAATCACTACGTGCAATCGAATAAAAAAGGAATAGAACAACTGCGCCATTGTTGCTGTTATTCATCTCAAAGTCACAGTTAGGCCTTTGTAAACATGTCGTGAATCTAGAAGTAAAAATAAACAAAAATTGCGCATAATTTATGAAATTATAATCCAATAAAATAATTGAATAATTACTGAGACAAAGGTTTTGAAATACAACATTAATCATGGAGTGTTCAATGCATGTGGTAACACCAAAAACATTTTCTGATCATATTTGAGTGTGTGTAGTATTTGGTTTTAGCTTATTAAGACAAAGACCCCTTTATGGAGTTTTATTGACTTTTGCAAGGACAGAAGTAGGTCAAATATCATTAAATCAAATCTGTTCCAAAATAAAAGATTTCTGAGTGGATTTTATAGATATTAGATATTCGCTTTCCTTATTTTACGAGATAACTGAAAAATTCGGGAGCCTCCCTTGAAATGTGAATGCAGGTACAACTGATTATCTTTTGTGTGATTGCGTCGTTTGGTTGTTGTCTTGTGAACGAATGTCGGAAGCCGTTGTTTTTTATCCATAATATTAGTGGTTGTGGTTTAAGTAAGTCAAACACTTTTTAAGCATAGCAATCTGGGCCCGGTTGTTCAAAAGTGTCGTTAAGCTAACGCAGTCGTTAAAGTGTCGTTAGAGAGTCGTTACATTTAACAAATTTGTTAACTGTTGTTCAAAAAATTTAACGACAAAAGTAATGTTAAAGAGTCGTTAACTTTAACAACTTCTGGTAGGTCGATTAAATATCTAAGTTATTGTTAAATATGGCCGCCTTCATGCAAGTACCTGTTCCACCTCACAGAAAAGAAAGGCATTTTCGCCTCAAAGATGACCTTTCTTTGGATTTGTCAAATGAGGAATTAAGAGAAAGGTACAGATTTGGTAGAGAAGGAATTATGTTCATTTCCAACCTAGTTAGCAATGATGTATCAAGAAAAACAAAGAGAAACCATGCCCTAACTGTGCCACAGCAAGTCATGGTAACCATGAGATTTTTAGCCACAGGCAGTTTCTTGCAAGTAGTTGGAGACACAATAGGTAAGATTTCATTATATATTTATCATATGTCATTTAAAATTAAGTAAACATTGCCAATGTGGTGTTAATCGACTGCTATAATTATCTTTGGCTGATGTTTGAATGATACTTTCAATTTGTTGATTTTCTAAATAATATATAATCAAACGGTGAATACACATTTTATTTTTGTACTTTATTGATCTCCAAAATTGTATGTTGTTGTTTTGGGTCTGTTTACAGGTTTGCACAAGGGAACTGTCTCACGTATTGTGTCTGATGTTTTGAATTCATTATGTGACAAACGGGATGAGTTTATCAAGTGGCCGAGAAATGTTGATGAAACAAGAGGAGATTTTTACCGTCTAAGTGGTTTCCCAAATGTGCTAGGGGCAATAGATGGGACACACGTCTGTATCCAGGCTCCATCAGAAGATGAACCATCATTCGTGAATAGGAAAGGGGTACATTCTGTCAATGTGCAGCCTGTTTGTGATGCCAGAGGTAAAACATTTCTTTCTGATCTAATAGAGATTTCCAATAAAATGACATACGTACCTAACTCGACGTACGCACGTAACGGGACCGGTTATTACTAACCTATTAATTTTGTTAAATGCGTCATTCAAGTTTTAACTCATTATTCCTAAACTACAAAACACATTCAGGATAAATTTTATCAATATCAAGTATTTCTAATATGATGAAAAACGAAAGAAATCATTATTTTTATATATCACGTGATTATTGAGATTCCCGCCAAAACTTCACTGTCATAAGACCACGTATATACACGTATCTTTACCTATCATACGATTGACTTGAGTTGTCTTTCATGGTTTTGACCATGACTTTGGTTTTTGATATACTTTGCAAATGAACCTTTTATTATTTAATATTTGACATGCTTTTATTTGTCGTTATCAGATTGGTGTCCTTTTTTCCTTTCGTCCCTTAATGTTTTATAATATTTAATTTCCTTGGGTATTTATTATATGACAGAGATTTTTCTAGCAATTTCAGAAATATCGAATTGAAAGTGTTAGTCAGAATTTGTCTCTGTTAAAGTTGATAACTGGGATTGAATCATACTTTATTAAGCATCATTTCAAACGATCTCTTCTTCTGCAGTTAATCTTGTTTATTTACAATCTCCGATTTTTTTCCCAAGGGAAAACGTTCGACAAAGGGATGTGTATATTTAAAAATAATTAATACAGGTCTTGTACTTCTTTAAATTTTAATAGTTGACATACACTTTTCTTTCAAATAAAAGTCAACTAACATAAAAAAAAAAGAATTTTGTAATTAATAATGATATATGTAAATAAATGTGTACACCAATTCGTTATATAGATTGTAATTTGGAAGGTGTACTTGATTAGCAATTGCTGACTAATCTGCATATAAACATTGACCGCTGTGGATAGTAAAATATCAATTAATAATTCATAGTAATTGGCTAAAAAAATGTCCTGTCCCAGGTATCTCTGATTAAAAAAGGACGAGAATGCCAATTTATACACTTTTAAGACAACTATATTGCCACTTCAGTCTTTACAGTAATTTTCTTTTTAAAATGTACTTTTAATAAGTAAGGCTTGATATTGTCATAGTTGTTTTTGGATTAAGACAACTCTTTCTAATCCAATTAGAAGTGGATTCTAACACTATCACATATTGATTGAGTTAAGCAAAAATTTTTAGTTTCAATTGTTGTCTCGCATTAGAGGTATATATTTATATATAAAAGTTAAACTCTACGACATATCCATGCATATGATCACCATTGAAGGTGATACACGGCTGAAAACACATTTTATATCAATAATTACTTTGAATATGTATATATGTGTAAACCAAGCTCTCTGAAGGAAGGTTTTTACAGGTTGTTCTTATGTCGTGCTGTTGCACCACTGTCCCAGGCTTAGGGGGTGGGGGTTGAGCACTCATTCTTTATGGCCTGTCTCATGTCAGGAGCCTGTGGTCCACTTGTTGTCGTTGGTTCATATCTGTTATATTTGTTTTTCGTAACTTGTTTTGTTTTAAATCAGGCCGGTAGTTTTCTCAATTGAATTGTTTCATATTTTTCAAGTTGGTTCCTTTTATAGTCGACTATACGGTATGGATTTTTCTCCTTGATGAAGGCCGTACGGTTGCCTATCATTGCTTACATCAACTTCATTTCTTATTGGCAATCATACCATATCTCCTTATTTTTTTGGGGGTTCTTTTTAACTAAATCCGTTTAATATTCTCAGGTAATTTAACATTTAAGAATCAGCTTTCAGTACCTGGGGGTACTTTAAGATCGGTACTCTGTGTCTTTCATCATAAAAATGTAATTGTTTTGGGCTTAATTCAATATTGATTAGTTGAGCTAATTCCAACTGAATTTTACAGTTTTTTTTTTCTTATATTGTGCTGTTACACCAGAGTGTTGAGCGCTGGTAAACGCGTTTAATCAGGCCAAATTCTAGATAGGCTTTCCCAAGTCAGATGCTTTCAATTCAGTGTATGTCGTTGGTTACTTTCTGTCATTTTTGTGTTAATTTTACTCTTGTAAAAATGTTTATTTTCGTTTGAAAAGTTTACATTTTCAAAGTCAATGTCATATATACTAGTATCTGATAATACGGTATGAGTATTTGCTTATTGTTGACGACAGCACGAGCCACTGTAGTCGTAATTCACACCATTTGGACTCTGTTTGATAGTTTGACCCCAGGAGTGTAAGGAATAAATCGAAAAAAGAATGCATGCTAAGCATACTAATGCTTTTGAAGAGAAAATTGAAAATATTTGTTGAACGGACAGACTGGTGGACGGACAGACAGGGTGATTGTAATATGAGTGCGGGTACAATATTTTGTCAGTGTATGTATCTTAGATGCTAGTGGTAAGGAAGTCTGGATCAAAACGGGGTAATCTTTACTTGCTAAAAAATATTTTTTACTATTTAGAATAATAATTGCATGCCTACTGGATATTAGTACAATAGCAAGTCACAAGGATAAAGGAAGCTGTGAAACACCATTTTACAATAAAAACTAAGCTTTTTGATACAAAGAAACAAGGAGAAAAATCAAACAAATTATGCAACAAAAAGTGATATCAAAACAAAACAAGTGTTGCTAGAATAATAATATATGCACTTAAAGCATAAAATATATAAACAAGTTTTTATTGAATATGGAATTGACTGGTAGCAGGCTTGCCTCGATTACGGGTTCAATTATTTTGTTGAACAATTCGATCCAGCGAATCGCTATCATTTCATCATCCTTAATATATATGTAATATTTATCGCTGGATATAAGACATACATCAGTATCATCATCATCATAAATATTATAGCTTGAGGCTTAATCTTCGTCGTATTTATTATAGCTTGTGAGTTTTATAGCTTGAGGCTAAATTCTTATCTGATATTTTAGCCAATTTATGTCGAGAACTTATTTTATGCATGCATCTCTTTGCTACATAATTTTTATAAATGTCCAAGTTAAAGCCAATAGAGATCATAGAAGTATGCTTATCAAATGATCATGTCTACTCATAATTATAACAGTAAGAAAGGGATTGACTCGTCCGACTAAAACGAAGCACAAAAACAGCAATTACTAGTATTTCAAAATAAACTCCATGTACCGATCTTACAGTATTCACAGCTACTGAACACTCTTAAAAACAACTACAACTAATAAATACAGAATAATTATCCAGTCTAGAATATTAATCAATTATTTCGTACTGTTACACCACTGTCCCAGGTAAGTGGGCCCGTTAACATGTTTAACTCTGACACATTATGTATGGCGGTGACTGTCCCAAGTAAGGAGCCTGTAATTCAGTGGTTATCATTTGTAGCTGTGCTTTCGTTCATTTTTTTGTACATTAATTAGGCCGTTAGTTTTATCGTTTTTGTTGTTTTACATTTGTCATTTTGTGACCTCTTACAGCTGAGTATTCGGTATGGGCTTTGCTCATTGTTGAAGATCGTACGGTGGCCTATAGTTGTTAATTTCTGTGTCATTTGGTCTCTTGTGAAGAGTTGTCTCATTGGTAATCATACTACATCTTCTTTTTTGTACATATCACAAATTAAGTAAAAAAGTACATAAACACTATAGAAAAGCAAGACCTTGTGTCATGTCAAAAGCACAGAGTGTCTGTAGGACCATTAGTGTTCATAATTGTATAGCAGATTATATGTAGTTTCTATAAAATGTAATGATAATTTATCAGTAAAAGATACCTGATTATTTGTTAGTGGGATTATATATAACTTAATAAATGAATATTTATATATTAAAAGAAACATCAGAAACAAGAATATGTGTCCATTAGATCACACGCCAGTATCACATTTCCGTGTTAAGTGAGCTCAAAATCCAGGAAAAATCCAATTCAGTATGTAGTCTTAAACTTTTAAATCTCGTGCGAGATGTCTAATGTTCAAACATTGTTGTTTTTAAAACGTATTTATCAAAGTCAAACGACAATCATTTAATTTTTTTTTGTGCTATACAATTTGTGATTATGGCCGGATCCAAGATATTTGAAAGAGGGCGTAGTTCCCGATAATTGAATTTATACTGCCGAGCGAAGCAACGCGAAAAAATAATGGACGATTTTATACTAAACATTTGTATAGATAACGTGGAAAATTGAGATGTTCAAAATTACTTGGCGATCGAAAGGGGGGAGTACGCCCTCTACCCCTGTATCCGCGAATGCACGTTTAGGTATACATGATCAAAATCTCGTCCCATGCATTATTATAGTTAAAGACTAAAAAGTACTTTTGATAAATGTATCAATGATATGAATTTCTGCCGACGTCAAATTATCTTGAATCAAATTATAGTATATAATTATTCTTAAAAGTTAGTCGCGTACACCTTTTACATTCGGGTGTGTTGGAATACACTTTTTAAACGTTAAAACTTATAAAAACAAAAAAAGAGATAGCCTTCTCGCTTCGGATTTCATTATTTCAATATTTTCATGCTAAATGTTTACTTGGTAGTTTTAAAATTCATGTGTTGAGAAGAACTGAAATATGGGTCAAGTGAAAAGACAAGAAATGATGGGTGTATTTGATTATAAGTTGCTAGCTTATTTATTCCATTAAAATATTTTTGTCAATAAAATCATTAAACATTTAATAACAAAATATTTGAAGATTAAAAAAAGTAGTTGGGGTTGATTTTGACATTAAGTTTATATCAGCAAAAAATGCGTGTTCAAAGAGCAAAAAATGCATGCAGTGTATGCTCCCCTCCGTCATGCTTTGATGCAATAGGACGGTATACGTTGATTTAGGTCGGTTATGTCGAGTAAAGTCATTTTATTGGAAATCTCTAATATGACATTGACCTTCATAACATAATAAACTGGTTTCAACTTTTTTGTATGACTGGGACCCCTATAGTCTGTTTCTCACATAGTAATTACTTTCACTTTCACTCCGGTGTAAACTTTCATCTAGGACATAAAAGTATGAGTTTATATGGTTTACCTACTAAAGGTAAATTAAAATATTGGTAAGTCAAATATTAAAAGACGTTATTTGTCATTTTTTCTTCAATGAGAAAAAGATTCTGTTCAGGGGCCCAGCCATTTTCAAAAAAAGGGGGGGGGGGGGCAACCTAGGATAAAGGGGAGTTCCAACCATATGTACCCATTCAAATGCACTGATAGTCCTAAAAAGGGGGGTTTCCTGGAACCCCAACCCAGACCCGCCACTGCTGTTATAGATACATTTCTTAAATTTCCCCTTTTAATCCAAAAGAAAGAAAGATTAACCTAGGTTACCCTACAGTACAATTTATAATTTTTAATATTGCTCTCATGTGGATCAATTATAGAAAATAAAGATGCATTAGCACAATTGATTTAATTAATATTAAAATCATGTTTTCCTAGTTTGAAACAATATTATTGAGTCATAATTTGTGGGTCTATACATGCATTTTACATCAGTTATCATGGTTATTCATTGTGTTTTCTGAAATTTAAAGCAAATATACACTTGTAGTTGGAAATGTTTGGACACCCCCTTTTAAGATTACCATTACAAGACTTTTAGAAAATGGATTCAAATAAATTTTATTTTTTAGTCCACTGTTGCATGATCCCAAATAATCCTCTCTTTGAAACTCTTGCTACACCTCTTAATTAGAAAAATATAATAATTAATAAAGATAATTTGTTACATATAAATATGTTTATGCTATTACAACATTTCTATCTTCTTTGCATTATATATAATCTTCTATTATTTGCAGGTAAATTCACAAACATAAATGCAAACTGGCCAGGTAGCAGTCATGATTCCCACATATTCAGGACTTCACAAGTATGTATTTTATTGCCATGTTGGTCATCTTTATTTAGTCATATTCCCTTTCAAGCACTATATATTAACAGTAAGATACTTCTTATTTTCTCAATACAAATTCAAAATCTCTTATCTTGGATTGGTCACCACTGCGGGAAGTCAAAATCTTCTTCTTGGACATAAACCCCCTATTTTTATTGCTTGTCATCATTAATATTTTTTCCCTTTTTGTCATTACACATAAAGGTGTAAAAATGCCAATCTGAGGACTTTTGAATTTCATTTCCAAATAATGAATTTATCATTTGATATTTATATATAATTAATCATTTTAGCATAATAAAATTTTGATTAATGAAAGAAAGGCTAATACATTATATATTAAATTGCAATTGTATTTCCATATCATAACAGATAAGAAAAGGATTTATATGTTAAAAAAATCTATTATTCCATATATAAAGAAGTTTTAAGTGGGAGCTATGTTAAAAAAAAAATATTGAGATACAATAACTTAAAAAAGAATATAGAAATATCTTTAGTAAATGATATATATGTTAAAAAATCAATTATTCTATATATATAAAGAAGCAAACAATTAGTTTTAAGAGGTGGCTATGTTAAAAAAATATTGATATACCATAACTGAAAAAGGAATATAGAAAAATAGTCTTGCTCAATATTATTTAAGGTAAATAGTGTAACTCCTCCGTGAAGCTGAATATATACATTTAAATTATATAAATGGTAGTTTTAACCAAATATATGATGTAAAAAGAAATATAAACCTTTATGTATAGGTGTGTACCTACATGGAACAAAATGGTGGATGGGCAAATGGTGTACTGCTTGGGGATAGTGGTTATCCTTGTCGTCCATTTTTGATGACCCCATACAAGAATCCTGTACAAGATCATCAGAAAAAGTACAATAGATGCCACTGTTCAACAAGAAGTGTGATTGAGAGAACATTTGGGAGGCTGAAGAGACGGTTCCATATATTACACTCAGAGGTAAAGCATAAAAAAAAATCTTTAAACAAATGATCAGTAATAAAACTAAAAAACACAGCTGATAAAAAATAATGTGGATATACATGTACTTTTATCAGGTGCACATTTCAACACCAAAATTCCCCACTACAAAATAAATTTCATGACCAAAAAAAAAACATTTGTGGGGGCAAAATAAGGGGTGGGCTAATGGGATATATTTGGGACAATGAATGTTGGTGTATTCATTAGAAACAAACTATTTTTTTATATGACTACATAAACTTTGCATTCATATTTTTGACCTCAAGGTTCAATGCCACAATAGGAAGGTAGGGATAGGTAATGGGTGTTTTGGTCCCAACTGTTTAGGAATAAGGGGCCGAAAAGGGGCCAGAACAAGCATTTTTCTAGTTTTCCAGACAATAACTTGTTTATTATTGTATGGATCTCTCTGAAGTTGTACTACAAGGTTCTATATCACAAAGGGAAGTTTGATTAAAAGAAAAAGTTGTGTAATTAAGTATATATAGTCAGAAAACTGAATAATCCAGCAATTTATTTATAAAAAACTTGCCCCCATCAGCAGGTGAATGGTCAGTGCCACTAGCACATCACTTTGACAACATAAATTTGAAACTTTCAACTAATATATCAAAGTACAACATCATTATGTAGTATTATGTTATATTACACTCTAAAGTGGGTTTTTTTGTCGAGCCTGCGACATAGGGATAGTGATCCGGCGGCGGCTACGGCGGCTTTAGGTAACTTCTTAAAAGCTTTATATTTTAGAAGGTGGAAAGCCTGGATGCTTCATACTTTTTATATAGATGCCTTATGTTACGAAGTTTCCGTCTGTCACATGTCCATTGTCCTTGACCTCATTTCCATGGTTCATTGACTACTTGAAAAAAAAAGTTGTGATTTTTTGTAATGTTAATTTCTCTCTTATTATGAGTAATAGGATAACTATATTTGGTATGTGCGTACAGACAGTCAGACAGTTTTCACTTGACCTCGACCTCATTTCATGGATCAGTGAACAAGGTTAAGTTTTGGTGGTCAAGTCCATATCTCAGATACTATAAGCAATAGGTCTAGTTATTGGTGTATGGAAGGATTGTAAGGTGTACATGTCCAACTGGCAGGTGTCATCTGACTTTGACCTCATTTTCACGGTTCATTGCTCAGTGTTAAGATTATGTGTTTCAGTCTATTTTTCTTAAACTATAAGCAATAGGTCAGCTATATTTGTTGTATGGAAGGATTGTAAGCTGTTCATGTCTGCCTGGCATGGTTCATCTGACCTTGACCTCATTTTCACGATTCATTGGTCAATGTTTAGTTTTCTTGGTTAAATCTGTTTCTAATAGAAACTATAAGCAATAGGGCAACTATATTTAGTGTATTGAATGATTGTAAGGTGTACATGTATTTCTCGTTTGGTTTATATGACATTGACTTCATTTTCTTGGATCATGTTTATGTAATAGTTGTAGTAAAGCTTTCATTTAGGACTATCAACATAATATCAATGGTTAGTAAAGAAGGCGAGACATTTCAGCTTGTGCACTCTTGTTAAAGCTTACTTGGTGTGAGCAAAGGCTCCCATGTTGAATGCCATACTGTAAACTATTATATTTGATTACTTTAACAACAGAGAATGGTCTCATTGCCACTCATACCACAGCTTCTTATTTTTATACATTGTATATACATATATTCAATGTCAACTTTTGAAACTTTATAGAATACTAATTTAGCAAAATGCTGATATGAAGACGATTATTAAGTGTAACATATTAAGTTATGATTTTTTTTAAATTTCAGATAAGAATGACACCTGGCAAGGCATGCAAAATAATAATTGCTTGTGCTATTCTCCACAATATATGCATTTTGTTGAATGAACCTGACATTGAAGATGACGGAGTAATTGTAGGCAATGATGGTGATCTTGGGGAACATTTCAATGGTCATCAAGATGGAAGAGCTGCAACTCATACACATCATCTACAGTTCTCTTAGCTTTCTTCTTCTGCTTACTCTCACTGAAATATAGATTTTTTACTATTTGGTAATTCTATTAATTTCACTTAATATTAGTAGATGTGTTAATACTATATCATTGCCAATGAGACAATTATCCAAAGAGCCCAAAGGAGGCAGATTTGATCAAATTCATATCACCGTACACAGCCTTTAACAATGAGGAAACCCCATACTGTTTAGTCTCTTATAAAAGAAATGACATGACATGACAATATGTGAAACATTAAATAAAAAAACAACATGATTAATGACAAATAAGCTAAAAACAAATATTTAACAGACAGCAACCCAAGTCATTCTTAATTGGGACAGGCATTAACGAAATGTGGTAATAGTAAACGTGCTTGTGAGAACTCAATTGTTCTTTCCTAATCAGGGTCAATGGTGTAATATATTACAAAATAACATATCTGAGAACAAACTTAAAATCCGTACGAAAAAGTTATTCTCATCAGACTCGCTAAACAACTAGTGTAAATACATCAAAGACAGTGCTGTATTTTTACATATGAAACATATACCTGGGTTTTGGTGGTTGCTGAGTGCAAGTCTGTATTTGTGCAGGTACTGGTAGGCTGGCAGGAACAGTCGCACTAGGATGTGTTAACTCTTCATTTCTCTGGTGAATCTGCTCAAGTCTCCTTATCCAGATATCTTCCACAGAAGATGGTAAATCTAAAAATTGAAAATTGGTTTACATCAAGATTTTGCTCAGTTCAGTGCATGATATGTGTTTAGTATATGTTTTTGAAAATTAATTCATATTTGCATTTGAATGTGTTGGTTATGATACACAGATGCAGATATAGAGTGGTCTAGGGTCCCGCTTATGGGGCCTCATGTTTGGTTTATGCGAAGACTTTTTACAGGCCCATTTCTAACACTTCCTTTATGAAGCCCCTTTTTCAAAATCCTGAATAGGCCTCTTAATACTATTGTACAAGATTCAAAATGAATGGACAACCAAATAAATAGAACAACATAGATTGGGGAAGGGTATTGTAAAAATTAATAACTGAATATAAGTTATAATTCTATCAATAAGTGTGACAAATAGAACAATAATAGAAAATATATGAAAATCATTTGATTTAACTTATATGAAATGCAGAATTGAAAAAAAATTACTAAACCAATTTAATTATCTACGTAATAAATACCTTCAACAGTCTGGCATGTGGGAGTAGCATTCAGTGCTGGAACTGGTGAGACAGGTACTGCAGTATATATCTGGTCAGATGTTATGCTGTCTGAAATGTAAAAAGACTTAATAATTTTGTTTTGTTTGATTTAAAGAACTGAATTGATAGTTTATACTCTTCATAATAGAACCATTTCTAATGGAATATTGCACATGAATGATGGTATACAATTGTCTCTTTCTTCCCAAGTTTTCATATCAATATATAAATACATGTATATGACAGTAGAATAGACAGATCTTGAGTACATGTAAAATCACATAGTGACTGACATGTCATGAAACATCTTATGATGTAATGAAGTTTAGAATAGTGCATAAATCACAAGTATTTTTGAATGCATGAAATAATTTATAAAGCAGTTATTATACAAATGTATTGGCTTACATAAAAAGAATTAATTTCTATGGACATATCATCCCTTATTGATCAATTTACTGACAAAGTCATACCATATAAAATATATTTATTCCTGTTACTCTCCATTTACTGACCCATGCATGGTCACCGTAAATTATGTTATAACTGCATTTAAACATTTTATTAACAATCCTTGTTTTCTATAAACCTTCATTAAGAACTGCAATTTTAAAAACCATGCATATGAAACTGTTGTTTATATCTTTAATACTAATAAGTTACTATTTTAAAGGTTCCAGATATAATTAAATCAGGTAACAAATTGATTGCACTTCTTTGAAGAAACTTGAATTTCATGCATAATAATAAAGTCTCATAGGCACTAAAAACACATCTACTTATATTTATAAAATAAAATTTCTTTAGTAATTTATAGTCATGTGTATGAATTATGTACTTTATATAGATACACACCTTCTGAATGTCTGCTATTACATGTTTCTTGCTGAGAAACCCCTGAAAAAAAAAATCAAATGATAAGTTCTAAAATAATTAGGCACAAAGAAAGATAACTCAATTATGTTTTTATACTGCATGCTATTTTGAAAAGGACTATAAACATGTCACAATATCCGTGGCAAATGATTCATTGCAAGTGCCTTGAAGATGGTATTAACAATTTAATATTATTTTTATAATTATTATATGTTCAAGTAAATCAATTTTGTATGGAATTTTTACCAAACTTAATTTTTTTTAATTTTTAAAAAAAAATTTTCAATGTGGCAAATGTTGATATAAGGGGCATTGCAAAATTGGAGGTTTGTTGTTCAGCCATTTTTAAACAGGAAGTGGAGGAATTTTAGGTAAAAATTTTGGAATTATGGGAAAATGTTAAAAAAAACCAGTTACTAAATTTTTTAACAAGTAGTTAGTTAACTCAGTCGTTAAATATTTTTGAACAACATAATTTAACGCAGTAATTAGCTAACAACAATGTTAAAATTTAACGAGTCGTTAGGCTTAACTTGTCGTTAGCTTAACGACACTTTTGAACAACCGGGCCCTGAGCTTAGAAATAATACTTTATATCATAGTCTGTAAATGTAATCAGATAAGAAAAAAAAAAGAAAGATGAAACCTTTACCCGGTAAATAATTTGTGGGAAATTGTATTGTTAGTCAGTAAAAAAACACGTCCTCACCATAAATTATGAATACTTAGTAGTCTATCATGCATTGCAACTAATTCGCCTGATTGGTCAAGGACCCAGGTAAAATGGTATGAGTATTATGTTGACAGCTAATATATTGGCGGGAACGTCAGTAAGCTAAATTATGCATACCCGTCATAGCTAGTTTATCGCTGATCAAATGTCATAAATCGATAAAGAAAATAAAATAAGGTAAAAAAGATGATGAAATGGTGATAGATTGACAATATTATCGTTGTAAATATGCCTGTCTACTGTTATATTTCTGGTATATCATGAACGACATTTTGGTTTAAAAAGCAATGTTAATTTATTATTAATTAAGTCAGCTTTTTTATTCAAGTTCGGTCTTCAGTAGCTTATTTTATACAATACTGAGAACATCGCTGAAGAGACATACCTTATAAAATTAGTAAAACTGGTATCGTTAATGTTATGCAAGATTTATAGATCATTGATGGTATTTCTAACGAGAGGGTGTTACTCAGTCAACGAAGGGCAATTTTTGAAGGATCAAAGGTAATTCTGTTCATTGCTATTTTAGATTTGATGTATATATGTTATATTGAATTTGTAAAATCACTGAATTGATAAATGATTTTATAAAATCCCTGAATTTGATCAGGGATTTTACAAAATCCCTGAAATAATTAAGACATTTTTTATTACAGATCCACTGATTCAATACAGTGATTTTGTAAAATAATCAATCTTTTGTTTAAATAATTCTTTAAGAAAAGACAAAAGACTACACCAGTAACACTTAACATGTTTGTGGTAATTTTTCCTTTACCATTATTACAAAAGAGAGGCGAAAGATATCAGAGGGACATTCAAACTCATAAGTCGAAAATAAACTGACAACGCAATGGCTAAAAAAGACAAAAACAATAAACAAACAATAGTATAAAAAACACAACATAGAAAAAAAAGACTGAGCAACACGAAACCACCAAAAACTGGGGGTGATCATAGGTGCTCCGAAAGGGTAAGCAGATCCTGCTCCACATGTATCACCCATCATGTTGCTAATGTTAGTACAAACCCGGTAACAAGGTGAGCAGTTTTTCAAGGGAACCTGAGGGAGAAATTAAAATTATATATGGAACCGGGACAAATATGAGTAAATTATGAAACATATTGCTTAAGAACTACAAAAAGACATAACAAGCAAACGTTTCTATCTTGTTCGAAAGCTTGTTAATGTTAAGTGCTTCAGTCTGTAAATGCTGAAAGTATAAAAAAAAATATCTATTTTCAAAATAAAGTATAAAGGCAGTATATTGAATTGAAAACATTGGTTAAATAAACACATTCAAGAAGTTATAAATTGATTGGTATAAGTCATGTCTTCCAGTAGCAAGTATTAAATGCATATTAGGACGAGAATATATAATATATAAATATGATTTTACAAAATCCCTGAAACTGTTAGGGATTAACAAATTCACTAATTATTCCTGATTTTACAAATTCACTGTAACATATACCGTATATCATTTTTTTTTTGCTTATGTTTAATTTTCGCTTTGTTCGCGGCAGCTAAAGAAACACAAAAAATTGACCCCGCGTAAATTCCCTATATATTTCAAGATTTATCGTCGTCTGAAAGTTTCATACATTACACTGTTAATTATCGAGTCGTTCGTGTTGTTCAACAGATCAAAAGAATGTGCATATTTAATTAAGATCTCTATTTTCATAATAATTTATTTAAATTGGCTGATTATACATGTCACACCTTTTGACAACACAGCAATCAGTGACATGTTAAGAAATGTTAATTAGCGACGATCTACTGATTGGTGTCATAACACTAACATTTTGCCTTTAAGGTGGTATGGGAGTACAAATAAAAAATGATAGAATTTTTTCATACTTTGTCAAAACGTAGTATATATTGTGATATATTCAAAAAAATAAAAAACATGATAGGTCACCGAGCTTTTTCTCAAGCTACGATTGTGAAAAGTGACATATTTTGTTCTCTGCTAATTTGCAATCCAAGATGGCGAACGATACCCAATACTACCTTAATGTAAAAATAAAGTGAAATTATTGTTATTAAAACAGGCATTTTTTGTAAATTTTTAATGATCCAAAACCTTCAACGTTTAGCGAAAATTAAACACAGTGAAATATAACCTGCCCATTTTGTCACCAAATCACGAAAAAAGCCGACGCGAAAAAACCCAATATACGGTATATACATCGTACTCGGACTTCATTTTAACTGAGTTTTTCTGTGTATCTTGCTGTGTGTTTATTTATTTCATATTGGCAAGAGGTATAGTAATAAACTAAATTATGGTGTTAACCAATTGTTATCTGGTTGAGAATGTCTGTTGTAAAGTTGTCACATGTTTAGACATGGTAAGTAACATTATCATCCTTTACGACAGACAAAACACAGCATATCTGAAAGTTACACCATCTACCTGCCATTATACATCATGTACTGTGTTGCAACCCTAGATAAAGCCGACGAGGAAAAGCTTTACTCGACCAACGAATGCTATATTTTATATAGACTAGTTTGTCGGGTGTTCTAGGCCGCTGAACACAGTGCAGGCGGTATTGCCACGATGTCACAGAAGCAGCTTTTCGAATCCCGCTGAGGGTGGAACAAAAATTTGCTAACGCAATTTTTTAGATCGAACATTGTTTATTGTTATTGTTTCGTCCCCGAGGGTATCGCCAACCCAGTAGTCAGCACTTCGGTGTTGACATGAATATCAATTATATGGTCATTTTTATAAATTTCCTGTTACAAAACTTTGAATTTTTCGAAAAACTAAGGATTTTCTTATCCCAGGAATAGATTACCTTAGCCGTATTTGGCACAACTTTTTTGGAATTTTGAGTCCTCAATGCTCTTCAACTTTGTATTTGTTTGGCTTTATAACTATTTTGATCTGAGCGTCACTGATGAGTCTTATGTAGACGAAACGCGCGTCTGGCGTATTAAATTATAATCCTGGTACCTTTAATAACTATTTACACCACTGGGTCGATACCACTGCTGGTGGACGTTTCGTCCCCGAGGGTATCGCCAGCCCAGTAGTCAGCACTTCGGTGTTGACATGAATATCAATTATATGGTCATTTTTATAAATTTCCTGTTACAAAACTTTGAATTTTTCGAAAAACTAAGGATTTTCTTTTCCCAGGAATAGATTACCTTAGCCGTATTTGGCACAACTTTTTGGAATTTTGGGTCCTCAATGCTCTTCAACTTTGTACTTGTTTGGCTTTATTACTATTTTGATCTGAGCGTCACTGATGTAGACGAAACGCGCGTCTGGCGTATTAAATTATAATCCTGGTACCTTTAATAGCTATTTGACGAATTATATATATGTATATACATATGTATACATAGGTATCTAAATATCGTTATTTGTCCGAAAAACTGTTGATGCGAAACTGCGCATTGTGCTCTTTTTTAAACAGAAACATGAACACCACTAGGTCAATCTTATTTTCACTTGGTGAGTAGTTGTTTGCAGTTATCATGTAACCTGTAACACATTACAATTCATGAATTATTTTTTCACGGTATAGATATGAAAAACTATTCACCATCATGGCCAGATTTAGGAATAACAAAATCGTAAGTATAAAATGCTAAAATTATTCGTAGAGATACACGATTATCTGAAAAGCCTTATCGATTACAGTATAAAAACAAAGTATATATAAAAAAAAAAGATAATGTGTATTTTTGACATGAACATACATAATACCTTTTATTCAGTATCGGAAGATGGAATACTTATGGGTTAGTATTATTTATACCTCAGTGTATATCAAGTGCGAATCCAGTTAGTTCATTTTCACTGTCGTACGCGTGTATTACTATTGTAGAATAAAGGATGATGGGGGAACAACAAGCTCAATGCCAAAAACTGTTTTAAGTCATACAACATTAATAACTATGCTAAAAGGTACATTTTTCTGCAAATGAAACATAAATGCTGCTTTTAAATCTCTTGCACGCTCTGTTCATGAACTATTCTTAATATTTATCTATTTGTGTATTAATTTTACACCTGGATGGCTAATAGCGAGGTGAAAACCCGTCGGCATCTCTTACCTATATCATGAATTTATAAAAACAGTACATATTATATATTATTTCTTATTTTATTAAAAAAATCATGAATTCGTCGTCTGCTTATTTATCATTCTACATTAGCAATGCATAACGGATACAGTAAAAATGGTATCTCAGGATTCGCACATTATATACACTGTACCTGGTTATTCTACAACAGTTAACTGAAAATTAGCATCACCAGAACTTTAAATTATTTGCACCGATACACATGTATAATCTTCTAATTCTTAAAACATAACTGTTTAAGGTCTCTTTAATTGTTTGTTTTTGCTGGACAAAACTGAATAAATACATTTTACATCGGGATATTGTGCTCTAGTCAAGTCCTTTCTATCTTTATGTTTTTGGCTGCGTGTTATTACTTATGGAGTTTGTTGTTGATGGCAGATAATTGGTGTTCTCTGTTTAATTTCAAATTTCAACTTGATATTGTGAGAATCTGTCAGTTGTTTCAGACTGTACATGTTAAATTTTTTGGATTATTAAAGTTTCTAAACAAGAAATAAATTGGGACTTGACATACCAACAAGCTTTTTTGCCTGTCAATCTACGCTCATAGCTCTATCCTTTAGTCTGTACGTATGCTGTGTTGTTTTCTTGATTGCTGTTTCATTGATGTATACCCAGCAACTTCTTGTATTAATAAATAAGCAATCGTCATTGTAGAAATAATTTCTATAGATAGTTCCATACATCAAATGATTTAGTGTTATTAAAAGCGGCGTAAGATGTCAAGCGGACACTCAAAACTTATAAGTTGAAGAAGGAAAAATAAACCACACGGCGAAACACAACAGACGACGACAAGACTAACAAGTCCACAAAATACTACATAGAAAATTAAAGTCCCACCAAAACCTTAGGGCTATCTTAGGCGCTCGAGAAGGATACGCATATCCTGTTCCACTTTTGCCGTCCATCATGTTTTTCATGGTCATCCCGTTACGCATATATTCTATAACGGTATTTCAATTCATGATGGCGTCCGTAACATTGTCATAGGGTTGACTTCTATTTGACAATCTTTGGTGCAAAAGCTTACTTTTATAGAAGTGTTATCATTTATCAGCAAAAAGTTCAGATTTTTTCAATTAAGCCAGAAAACGACAAGACAGTACAGCGATTCATATTGCCATACGAAAGCGGTGATGAGTTATCAATTTGAAGACATAAAAATAGACGCAATTAAGATTTCATTTAAAATTCACAACTATAAAACATCTTCTGAAAGTGTTACTACAACTGAAAAATTTGAGATAATGACACTTTTCCTGTTTTATCAAACTAATTGCACTTTTTATAACAAGAGAAAAGATATAAACTTTATCTACTACTTCAATTTAAATCAGATGTAGTATTCTAAATATCTTCTGTGTTGACGCCCCTCATATATGAGAAGCTTACATCTTATACTTATAAGCAGCAACTCTCCATCAAGGAAATCATGATAAGATACGCGAAAATTGTATACACTAGGAGATATATACTGCTGGAATTTTGCTACATAGAAATGGAACCTGACAATTAGGAACATAACATGATCACTTTTGCCGTACATTCTTGTTCTCAATCGATCTTCATTGTCAATTTCTAAATGTTAGTCAAGGGCAGACAAGATATATTCCTTTATTTTAAGCGATTTCCAAAATTATATAGCATCAAATTTCAGTTTAACAATATCAGTATAAAAATACTGGCTAAATGTTATGGTGACACCCTCGGTTGAGAAATATGATATTTTGTCATGAACTACTAGTATACTGAATAATTGAAATTAATTACATCTGTGGTAAACTTTCATTGAAAATATTGATATTCTCATATGCTTTACTAAATGAATATCAAAATAGTATATTGTCTCTATGAATGTTATATTTTTTTTCAAATTATTCAAAATTAAGGAATATATCTCCCTCATGCAAAGCTCTGATTCGTTGTCCGGGTTTCGTTATTATATAGGTCTGTTTTTGGTTTGATCCGATCTTCAACATTTGTATTAGATTTTGGATATTCAAATATTTTGGCCTCGACCATCACTGAAGAGATAGTGATTGTCGAAATGCTCACCTGGTGCGTACAAATTAGTACCGTTTATGTTGTTACTATCACTGGGTCGATACCTCTGCTGGTCGGCTGTAACTCAACAAAGATATCACCAGCCAATTAGCCAGTACTTCGGTACTTCAGTACTGGCATGAAAATACGGATATTATTTGATTAACATTTTCTGTTATAAAATTGTTTTGAATTATTTGAAATTAACGAATATATATCCCTCATGTAAAGCTCTGATTCCTTGTCCGGATTAGGCTATTACTTAGGTACTTTTTGTTTTATCCGCTCTTCAACATATGTATTAGATTTGGGATATTTAAATATTTTTGGCCTTAACCACTGAAGAGACATTAATTGTCGAAATGCGCTTCTGGTGCATGAAAAATTGATACCGTTTCTGTTATTTCTACCTCTTGCTCGATAACTTTGCTGGTGGGCAGTTAGTCCCCGAAGGTATCACCAGCTCAGTAGACAGTACTTCGGTACTAACATGAAAATAACAGATATTGTTTGATTAAAATTTGCTGTTATAATTTTTTAAGAAATATTTGAAATTAAGGAATATATCTCCCTCATGCAACGCTCTGATTCCTTTTCCGATTAGGCTATTACTTATGTCCTTTTTTGGTTTGATCCGCTCTTCAACATTTGTATCAGATACATTCGAGGGTCAGATACAGAAAAGAATGAATTTTCTTAACTATTACATATTGCCTATACATTAACACTAACCTTTCCTATTTACATTATCTTGTTTGGACCCAGATCTGGATTGCAGCCTGGAGACTCTATTATTAATTAGTTAATTAAAATATATCATAAAATTTTGGAATTTCCAAAAAAGGCCGCCGTTTCCATGGAATCAGTAAAAATATTCTTTAATTTTCTTTCCAGCAGCTAAACTTGACCTGAGTTGATATCGGAAACTGTTTGCTGCAAGTCAATGGTACTTCACGGGGTACTGTAGGCCTATGTTCCTAGATGATCCTAATGTTTAAGTTTTGCAATATGTTGTAAGGGAAGATTTTTTGGGGGTCAAAAGTGGTTTGGGTTTACTATAGAAGTCTATTGGAAAATTGAAAAAAAAAATTCAAATTGTCACACAACTTCAAAAGTACTGCATATAATGATAAGGGGTATTCAGTAACTATTGTAAGACTACAGTGGAATGATTTGGTTTTTTAAATTTGGATTTTTTTTTGGCGGGAGAGTAATTTCTGCTTGATATGTTCCATTTTCAGCATTATTCAGTGTTACTTATTATATTATTATTGACCTTCATTATATAATCTTCTTTTCAGCATACTTATATCGGGCGCATGCCCCAAGACCTGGCGGATAAGTGGGAGCAGTGGAACCGCAGCCAAACTTTTCTTGAAGGGTTTTCCAAAAACACATTTAAAGGCATTTCCAGCTCTATACAGGCCCCGGAGATACAATAAAGCTTCGTTTTAAGACTTTCTGAGGATCCTCTGCCCAAATTATTTTTGAAGGGTGTTCCAAAAAAACAATAAAAGGCATTTCCAGTATTATGCAAGCCCTGGGGATACATTTAAGCTTCATATTTAGACTTTTACAAGAATTTTCATTATATCTTTTTTTTCAGCATACTTATATCAGGCGCACGCCAATATGTTAACAAATGCTATCTGTAAACAGGGGTGTATATGTCATGTAGGCAGCAACATTGTTTGAATAAACTGTTATATACAATAATAATTCCTGTCTTTTTGTTTTTCAGATAGCGATCTTAATTTGTAGTAATGTGTTGATATACTGTGTTTATCTGTTCTTCACCAAGAATTATGTAAAGCCATTGATTCTAATTCCAACTATCGACAAGCTGGTATTCGATGTTAATAACAAGAAAATTTTAAATAAGGAACCAGAAAATGATTTCAAGGAGAGTGATATGTTCTTGAAAAGTCCTTCAGAATCATTGTGTAACAATTCCAAATGTGGTTCTTTACAAATCTTATTTATTGTAAAATCCTACGTTTTAAACTTTGGTCAACGAGAAGCTATACGTAGAACATGGGGAGGCATGACACAACTGCGATCAAAAACTTTTTTCATTATTGGATATCTTGATGGCATTGATTATCTTGTTGATATGGAATCAGCAAAACATAAAGATATTATTCAGTTGAATATGCATGATCAGTATCAAAATGTTGTTTATAAAACAATTTATGCACTGATATGGTTATCAAATATAAATATAACAGTACAGTTTATTAATTTTGTTGATGACGATCGATTAGTTATTCCACTGAATATGTATGATGTTGCAACACAAAATATTAACTCAACAGACTTAATAATGTTGGGTCATATGATAAACAAATCAGAAACTGTTAGAGATAAAAGTTGGAAAACATATATTTCTCCTGAAGACTATCCATTTGATTTCTATCCTCCATATATCATTGGGGGAACTATCTTAGCAAATCAAAAAACCGTGAGAATGCTAGCAGTTGCTGTAGCCTATATTAAGGTAATTCGAATAGAAGACGCATATATTGGAATAGTAGCAAACTCAATTAATATCAAATTGAAACACCATGCGGCTTTTTTTGCGTATAAACAATCGCTTTCGATATTGCGTAATTCAGTCTCCTCTCCTGGTTACGAAACCACATATATTTTGCTGAGGGACTGGAATTTGCTTCATACGAAATCACATAGTATGCAAACATAAGAAAAAGAAAAAAGATTAAAAATGTCAACTCAGTGAACGGTAAAATTTCAGCTGGTAATCAATTAAATGGCTAAATGACAAATGGATCAGACTGTGTTTTTTTTTTTATATAAGCTTATGGCTATTTAAGTTGATATACTTTGAAGTATTGTTTCTGTTATCAGTTTTTCATTCATAACGAAAATTATGCATCCTGTTGTTTTGAATGTATGTATTTTCAATTACTATCATTCCAATATTTGTCTGTTCTGATAATGACTTATCGTACTTATGTGCATATATCAACTTCCTCATGCGATCCGTAATTCTCATATTACTGCTTTATGACGTTTGAGCAGTAATTGTCAGCCACCTCAAACATTGGATGATGTTATCAACGACAACACAATATATGGGGAAGACGTATTAAGGTTACCTCCGGTAGGAAAATCGATCATGAAACACGTCTAATGGAGATACAAAGTGATGGTCATTAGTCAGATAAACATTTTTGTATCTCTTTTTTTTCTTTTAATCCAGGTTTTGTTCCTCGTGTTGTGTGGATCCAGTACAATGACTTCACGTGCTAATAGTGTATGCTCTATATTTTACAGTTTTTGGTTGTTTGCCTATGAGATAGCTGGTCTCCTAAATTTTATTTTAATTTTTTTTTTATCTTTTTCTTTTAATTCATCATCGTGTTTTATCTTTGCCTCTTCTATGATTTGATAACAATGCTTATATTTTCGGTATTTATATTTGTTTTATCGCCTTCAATTTTACTCACGTCTCAATGTCTGGCAGCATTACAGTTTTCGTTAAAGTTCTTTGACTGTACTTTTGATTGTTTACTTTTGTCGTAATTGTGATCCTAATTTAATGTTTTGATTTCGGCCTCTTTTACGATTTTTATGATTTTCTCCGTGTAATGTTAGAAAATGACAAACCTGTTCCAGATTGTCTTCCAATAGTACTGTTTTATCATCACGTGGGAGTTTTTTCAACACTGTTGTGATATTAATAAACGAAAAAACATCTAAAGTTTAAGAATGTCTACGTGCTTTTGAACACGCATACATAATATACTCTTGTAATCTATTTTGATCTGAAACGGTCATTTTGATCTGAACAGCTCCTAAAGACCGATTAATTTATTATTAAGTTATTTTCAGTTTTCCAGTCAATTATCAGATCTGGCCACTGCGGTAAAAGCAGTTCTAATCAAACGATTCTCTTGTAGTCGTTTTAGGAATGTTCAGTCTATTTTCATACATTGTTTTGAATTCTCTGGAAAGCTAATGAAACAGTACTAAATTGACTGCAAGCAAATTGTATGAATAGTACTTACAGCATTTACAGCAATGGATCCATAATTAGTAAACACGCAGTTCATTATAATGTTTACCGCCTCGTTGTTATCATGGTAGCGTATTCGCCTTGAGTGCAGTTGGTCTGAGGTTCTTCCACGGCCGGTTCTAACCAGAGAATTAACGTTAATTTCATATAAAAAAGTGCCTTTGTTTGGTCAAAATATTAAAATCAGTATTGTATCGTATCAAAATTTATTTGATGATATAATTTGTGGTGTTCTTTTTTTTTGGGGGGGGGTTCCGCCAAATAAACAGCGGGTTTATGCTATAATTGTACAGCAAACATAAAAAAATGAAATTAATTAAAAGATATAAATGGTGAAATATCCCAACAAGGTTGATATTCAAAAAGAATTCGGTAGACTGACGGGAAATCTCCACTGCACAATGCTTGCATATGCCATTGACACACACAATGTAGAATTATCTCGAGTTACATCAAGTTAAGAAGAGATATGAATAGGGAAATATCCCCAACAGCAGATTACACATTAAAAGATTGACTTTAAAAATTTCCCATTGATTTATCTTACTACAAAACATACATATGTAGGTAATAAAGTACAGGAAATGTGAGGACATTTTTTTTTGTTTTAATGATGGGGTTTTAATTTGAACTGTTTCAGAAATTGCAAATATCATAAATCAAAAAGTTAAGTTGTCTGAAGTTGGAATCTTCTTTTACTTTCCTGTCAGTAAGTAAATGGGTGACACAAAACATTGTTGCCAGGCAATGTGGCGTAAGGTTTTTATGATGTGTAAATGAGCTTACATTTACGGTCATAATTTTACATTTAACCACATCCAATGTCTTAGTGGAAGGTATTTTATCACACTTTTTTGTGATGGTCATACTGACGTTGATATTCAAAAACGAGAATATTTTTACTATTCATTTCAAGTCCATTAACTGAATACTGACATCCGGTTAAACGACAAAAACATCTTACATAGATTTCTGCCAACTGTAAGGCAAAGTCTAAACATTTAAAGTAAAGAGCCGACGAAATGATAGTCTACAAAATACAAAGCAAAGACAAAGCAATATAATCTTCACCGAAAGCCACCCTTATCTCAGACGCCCCCTACAGGGTAAGCAGATTCTGCTCCAAAAGTATGACACCTGTCGTGGTGTATATTGTAAATGTGTTAGTATAAATTCCTAGAAAAGTTTAATTCGGTGAAAAGAGGACTGAATTGTGGCCTCTATTGGCACAGATCCGTAGTAATTTGTGATTCAGATATTCAAAAACCGTCAAACAAAATATGATGGCGTCTGTGAGAATTTTGATAAAGGACTTAAACTTTTCAACTACTTACCCTTGGTTCAACGGCTTTCTTGAAAGCTGCAACCTTCTATCAATACAATCATGGTACGAAGCGCAAGCTGTGACATCAAGTATCAAATGGGAGATATTTACTCATTATGCATTCACAAAATGATAAAAGATAAATCTTTTCTACAGTAAAAAATAGCTTTCTAAAATATTGTGACATGGTATAGTAAACGAGTTTTTGTACTAATATGAAGCAGAATTCAACAGAAAAGAAGCTTCTTGCTATGTTTTTAAATTTCTCTTTCGAGTAAGTATTTGCAATGTCCTGTCACTCGTAAACCTACGTTTCAGTAAGTGCTTACATCTCAAATATCCTAGTAAATTTGAGATTAGGGATACTACTGAAAAAGAAGGTCTGCTTCATATATTGATCCTTTCCTCGATATTGACAAAGAAAGGATACTTCAAACTGGAATCTATAACAAACGCGATGAAAACCTCATTTTGCCGCAGTGAAATACTATCTACCCCATCGTATGACGTTTACCTATCTCAAATAATACCTTGCGATCAAGTATGTTCACACTATACAGACTTCGTTAACAGAGGTGTGCTCTTTACAAAAAAAAATGCTCAACAGAGTTATGAGGAATAACAGCTGAAAAGCACACCACAAAAGTCGCAATCGCAAATTGGTTGCCCGATACAACGTGTCTGTGTCTCAACTCAACTCTTAGATCTATGTGGTGCAAAACGCAACTACTGCATATTTGCAGATCTACCGTTTTTGGCTAAATTTCATGCAAGGTATATAAAAAGTCTTAACCTTGTATAACCTTTGGTCACTTATTAGAGCTTTCCCAATTTGCTACGTATCAGGTATGGTTGGTATGTATCTCAACGGTTAGTGCAGTTTGGAGGTATCATTTAATGCATGAAATTATTTGATTTATCATGAAAAAATTTAAATAGTTGAAATGCATATCACCAAAAACTAGCTTCACGTTTTATTTGATAACGATGTCATGGTTTCTAGAACACTTTGTTTATGATTAATTATGAGATTATTTAGTTGTGCACAAGTGCATGAATCAAACAGACCTTAAACGAACTGAGTTAACGCAGCCTATAGATTCTAAATATACATTTGCGTTTCTGTTTGTTAAAGGTATTGTTTTTGTTTCGTTTATATATAGAAAAAGAAGATTTTTTTCGTATGTATAAATAGAATTTGGAATAATTAAAATAATGTCTATGAACTATTTTCTAAAACACATGTTACTGGTGTTGGTTATATTCGTTAACGTGTTAAAATTGTGTTGATTTCAAATTATATTTAGTTCTTGCATGATTTTAAAATTAGTTATTATCATTTCAGTAATCTATTTCGATCATTACAGAAGAAGATTTTATCTTGAAACGATGAGAGAGCTGAGATAACATATTGAGTGAGAAAGGGGCACTCTTCTTATTTTTTTATCAACAACTAAAAGATTTTTTTCTAGAAATGTATTCTTAAAAAGTAAACTGAAACATATTGTAAAAAAATATTCACTATTCTGTTGCCGATGAAAGAAAACCACCAATGTGTTGAATCATTGAATTTAAAAGAATGGAATAATTGTCATATAATTATAGTAAATTCTACTCACACTTGTGTTCTTTGAATATTTTATTAGCGTATCTTTTATTTGACCCTTTCTTCGTACTTTTTACTTTGGTAAAATTTCTCATACGTGTGTATGACGATTTTTGCGAAAATGCAGAAAAATATGAAAATGGTATAGATAACGAATTTGAACTACTAAAGTAACTTACAAAATTAAATTCTATTAAATAATGCGAAGAATTGATACTAATTATTTATTAAAAAAGTTTGTTGCTCACCGATATGACATACGTTTATATGTTCACCTAGAGATTTACTCAGTCAGGTTTATATTTATATACATTAAATCGACTCGCACACGAGGTTTTTTAATGTAGGCAAGATATTTAGCGGAACAGGTTTTGTACGTATATTCATCATTAATACATTTTCAATGAGGTAAATTTTGTATGTTAAAACAGCTATTATTCTATCATCCATTCTAAAAGCCTACCCCCAAAAATGCCAACCTATTCATTCTGTATGTTTATATTAATATAACAGGCAAACATTAGATAACATATGAATGTGCTTTATATTTAGCTTCGTTTTACCTTTGCAATTTCGGGGAAATAAGTCTCAATTATAAACTGTTCGTGCAAGGTTTACTTACAACGGTTGGTTGAAAGCATAATCGAGTACACACAATACCGTTTGTTATGCATAGGGAACATATCCACATGAAATTTATACCAAGTTGTAGCTAAAAATCCTCCAAATACTTTTGGAAATGTTTTATAAAACATACGTTGACATTAAGGGCATATATTAATTATTTTCAAAAGTTCAATGACTGCTCCCAGTTCGTTCTCGGTACCAAATCGGGAAACATCTTGTGAGAACCTTTGTCGTAATGGTGCTTAATATTTCAACGTGTACATTTATATTGTGTGATGATATTTTTATCCAAAAAAAAAGTACGTGACTGGGTTTTATGATAATAGGAATAATCATTTTCTTAAAAGTACATCTATAAGTATCAAAAAAAAAAAGAAAAATATTTTACTCGCTGTTTTATAAAAGAAAAATATTTTTTCATTGTATAGCAACACAAAAATCGCGATAATTCCTGCATGAATATGTATGGACTACAGTGTTCAATCATCTGAAGGGCCGTACACTTTACCGTATGAATATGTATCGACTGCAGTGTTCAGTCATCTGAAGGGGCGTACACTTTACCGTATGAATATGTATCGACTGCAGTGTTCAATCATCTGAAGGTCCGTACACTTTACCGTATGAATATGTATGGACTGCAGTGTTCAATCATCTGAAGGGCCGTACACTTTACCGTATGAATATGTATCGACTGCAGTGTTCAATCATCTGAAGGGCCACCCACTTCCTGTATGAATATGTCACTGTCTGATATTTGCCATAAACGTAAATATGGTGTATGCTCAGTTCACTGTGATATACATACCAGTATAACAAGTTCGGTGAACCCTTCTTTCACAGTTATCATTCACAGGTCATTGCTTGACAACTGGTGGCGACAACACGGGAGCACTCGACACAATAGCCAGTGCCCATTTATAGACGAAAGTATCAAATAAGCTAAATAATTTTTATTTTTACTGGAGATATATTTACTATTTGAGCAATAAATTTTCAAGAGGCCATTCTGGACATTTTCATGGAATCTGATATGAATTTGTCACATGATGTTCAGCAGATCAAACTCAAGCTGCTACACTAACGGGGTATCATAAAAATCTGACCATGTTGTCATTAATTACCGCCGTTATTTATAAGGCAGTGGAAAATACTTCGGCTAGCCGGAAAAATACAAAAAACTGTCTATTCTTCTGGCTATTCGGAAGAATAGGTTTTCTCTGCTATTATGCAATTTTTCCGGTCATACATAACAAAAAAAAATGAATATGTTTTGTTAAGTTATTATATTTTGTAGCATCCAGTGGAAAATGGAGTGGCAAAGAGAATCCTCCCGTAAAAACACGAAGAATTGGAATTATTAATTGTTTGCGCGTTCTCCGCGCGGACGTTACTGATAATAAACTCAAGATAAAACGTTCCAGAGAATAGTAATAATGCGAAGAATATTAAAATAAAATAAAACCAAGATAACCATGGGCATAAACTCCCCAATTACCAACATCAATTTATTTTCTATACTGGCTTTTCTTTAGAACACGTCGATTCACCGTTAATATATACAGCTTGTCAAGTGAGATCAAAAGAAGAATAAAAACAACATCGATTGATAAGCATCAAAGACACGTTCGAATTAAAGTCACTTGGCAAAAATATGCGAAAAGAGTTTCCTTTCACTAAAACAAATCGAAATGCAAATGAATTTACTTCATAATTTACATCATATCCAGACTTTTATCTTGCTTCATGTAATGATTATTTGCAATATAGAATCAACATTTGTTTCGTCGAAAGGCTCTTATCAAAAGGATAAAGGTTGTCATCCTTTTGTTTTTATTCCATTTAAATAAAGAAAATTAGAATCATTATAATACCAATAATGAAATACACAATGCAAAAAGGAAACAATAATAATATCATTGACATGTTAAATATTTATTATTATTACAACAGTTGCGTTGAATTATAAGCTATTTGTGATGTTTATTGCATTATTATAATGCCTAGAAGAAAACAAAATTTAAATTCTTAAAAAGCAACAAATAAGATAAAAACAAACAAAAAATATAGTAGATGACAACAATAAAAATTAAACAAAAATGATATACAAAAAGGATAAGAAGAGAAAATAATTGTATTGGCACAGTAATTTTCATCCTTTATATTCGGAAATTTCAGTGTACAATCCATCTCCAATAGAATGATGTCTTTGCTCTCAATTGCAAGGCTATGAATAAGAAGAAGAATAAGAATTTTATTAGTTTAAAATTCAAACAATAGGATTGTTACTAACGAAAAACGTATAAATAACAAAACGATAGACAATAAATAATACAAACATGTAGCAAATTCATTACAGTACTATTTTCACAAGGCTATGAGCAATTGTAGAATAAAATAAAAAAAATTAAGGTATCTCATACGTTGATATTTAAAGGAATCCCATACGTTGATATTTTAAAGACTCCCATACGTTGATATTTTAAGGAATCACATACGTTAATATTTAAGGAATCCCATATGTTGATATTTTAAGGAATCCACTTCGTTGATTTTTTAAGGAATCCCATACGTTGATATTTTAAGGTATCACATACGTTGATAGTTATTAACAAAAATGTCGAACTTAAGCTTTGAAGGTTTCATTTTGAAAAGATTGTTCATTAATAAATGTTTAGATCCTAAATATATATGTATAATGTTATGAGTGGGCGGAGTTTGTCATATGCCGAGTTTGATCTTTGCCGAGTTGACATGTGCGGGTTTGTAATGTGACGAGATGTCTTGCTTTGAGTCTAAAGATTTGTTAAAACCATACGGATAAAAATAAGTATGAGCGATTAAGTAAGAAGATTACAAATATATTGTCATAAAAATTACCAACGTCTTTTCTATCTATATACCTTGATGCAAGGTATTCCAAATTAACTTATGAAAGATTGCATTTTAATCTATTTAATATGTTTTGTAATTTCAGACATGCATACTCTTTTGGGAAGGATATAAAATGTTTTGAGACCATAACCATAATTAAATTTTTAGCAGTTGTCTTGGATTTAACAATGATTGCACGTGATATTCAATCTTTGTCCCATAAGACTTTGAAATATTGATAATTTTACGATATATGTATGTTATATTTGTCTTGGTTACTTTACACTCCACTAACATAATCGTAAGTATTATGTTGATTGTCAGAATCTTAATGAAGTACACTTGCGAACAAAACCTTAATACTTGTCTTTGTGTCATTTTTGTGAATATATCTATTAAAACTGATTTTGTTGTTTTTGTTTTGTTTTGTTTTATTCGTTATCATTTACTACGAGGTTCAAGTATTGGAAAGTTAGGCTGACAGTTTGATTTAAAAAGTATTGAATCGTATAATTCAACCAATAGCTTGTACATCATGTTACAGTCGGATATTTCAATAGCAGATGGCATTTTAACCATCTCATCTTACATTATTACAACAATAACTTAAAAAACACATATGTGAAATAATGTTACTTACTTATGTATTTATTTTCTTCGTTTTGGAAGGGGATACGATTTAACTGGTGTTTAAAATTAAACATCATTTTACCAACACTTGCAATGATGGTTTTGCTTAAACTTGTTATGTGTTTCTATAGTTTTCCACATTTTATGTGAATAACTTGCATTCTTTAAATTATTTATGTAAAACAAATGGCATGGCTTTTCATTGAAACTTTGCTGCACTTCCTTTAAATAACAATTCGGCTGAACTATTTCTATTTTTAAAATCCAGGGAATAAATCCGCTTCCATAGACATCTTCAAGCCACAAAAAAGGCACAATTCGCGTCGCTTCATACATTTGTCTAATTACATTAATGGCCATAATGGATGAGGGTCCTGCACAAAAAGGAGGAAACGTTGGAAACCGATAGTCTGAGAGAGGCGTATACCATTTGCTACGAGGTTCACGGTACGGCATAGATCCAAAAACGGTAAAACATTCTAAAACATTTGTCTTGTTCTGAATTATCTTATTGTTTAAGTAAGGAATTAGAAATGGAATGTTAATAGTGATATCATCGTCAATTTTGATGACATAAATGGCATCTTTACAGAATTTATTTACCCAGAACAAGCTGAATACTCTTTTGTATGTTAAATTTTTGTAGCTGTCAATAAAATTCCCTTGTATAATATCCCTGTATCTGACACTTTCCTTTTCAATTTGTCCTTGCAGTGTATCATTATTGGTTTGCCCTAGCACAAAGACATATTCAATATCTCTATTGGCAAAATGGGAGATCGATCCAAATGTATTCCTTATTAGCTGACGTCCGTCAAATTTATAAGTAGCCGAATAAACTAGAACTAACAGGAACGTATCTTGTTCTTTACATTCCTTACCAGTATTTAGAAGTGTACTATATTGATGTTTGTGAATAAGAGGGTCCATCAGCTTATCTGGTGATACATTCATATAAAAATGTTCAAACTCAGTTGAGATATATTTTCCATTGTATTTTATCAGCGTCATACCATTGCTGAATATTCGTTGCTGAATTCTATCAAGTAAGTTTCTTTCATTTACAAACAGCAACAAACACATTGTAAACAGAATCATCAATGGAGTTTTTTTGCGTAATTTCAATAATCTAGGGATTACTTTTATACGTTTAAATCCAGTCATTTCTCGTTTGCAGCTTATGGTAGTCATCGCAGTCACATATCATTACGGACGAAATTAAAAATATTAATGAGGCATAAACACATTTATTTCGGTTATATTATGAATATACGATATTCTTTTCTGTTTTATTATTAAATGCGTCAGTAATTTTTAGAGCAACACAACATATAGAAAAGTCAGCTAATCTATCGATTTCCAATCTGTCAAATGCATGAAATTCCAATGAAAATAATTTATATTGATAACAATTACATATTCTTTTTTTTTATAACTCATTTACATATTCTTCCCTAGTGAAATGGTCCCCATTCAAATATGTATTCCTAACTCTTCGGATTGCCTGTTACAATTCACTGTAAGATGTTCCTTATCATATAATATTATTAAAAAAAAAAGCATTGTTTACAAATTTGAAAAAAAAGACATTAAAATGGAGTCGTTATATACAACAAAAATGTTCTCAGGGTCGAAAAAATAGTTCTCTTGCAACTCCATGGGATGATAAGTAGCAGATTTTCAGGCAGAATCTTTGAAGACTCAATTGTTGCAAACCTGTCTTACCTCCTTGACAAATATATTGTTGTCCCTGTTGATAAAGCCTCAAACAACATCGTGTTTGTGTGTAAATCACATTACATAAAATTGAGAATGGAAATGGGGAAATAAACTGCTTGATAAATGAATTGGGTATTGATAATTCACTTTACACAAGTATTCCTTAAATTGAAAGAGTTGGTCTTGCTATGCTTCATTACAAAGAAAGGCAAATGCAGATACAAGTCACCTTTCTTAGGGAGGGATAAATAATACTTAAAAAATCACTCTGATTCAAACAAAAAAATTTTGAAACTGACATTATCGAGATGCTTGATTTCTTAAATGACAACATATTTTATACATTTGGAGGACGTTTTATTTTAACAAACAATCGGCATTCCCATGGGAACCAACTGGGCTCCTCTTCTTGTCGACTTATTCCTTTATTCATATGAGGCTGGCTTCCTATATGAGCTTTGTAAGAATTACAAGAAATTTTTCTCATCCTTTAACTTTACTTTCCGCTGTATAGATGATGTCCTCTAACTAAATAATTTTGGTGACTACTAGTATGTTGAACGAATCCATAAAATCGAACTTGAAATAAATATAAATAAGAAGATGTGGTATGAGTGCCAATGAGACAATTCTCCATCCAAGTCACAATGTATAAAACGTTAACAATTAAAGGTCAAAGTACGGCCTTCTATACGGAGACAACAGATACAGTTAAGTCTGCCTAAGGTATCTAGAAATTGACAATAAGGGTCGGTTGAGAATAAAACTTTACGACAAAAGAGATGATTTCAGCTTCCTCTGCTAAACATTACAGCAGCGCCTGCATATGAAGATTATATCTCCCAGTTGATATGATACTAATGACCACATGACAAGAACAGTTTATTCATTCTTACGACAGACGTAGAATTTCATCACAAGTACAAACTGTCTAAATGGAGGAAAGATAGCGAAAAGGAATCATTCGACTGACTTGAAGGAAAGTTGATATTTTAAGATAACGCTTGGGCTTTCCCAAGAATTCACATGGGAAAATAAGCGATACGGTTTGAAGTTAGATACCTTCTCTATATTTGTCACGGGTATGCATAATTTGGCATACTAATGTCCCCGCCATTATAATTGTTTGTTTACATAATACTAAATTTGATTTTATCTTAGGTCATTTACAAATCCAATTAGTTAGTTGCAAAGTATGATGGACTACTGCATATACATGATATACATGCTTACAATTTACAGAGAACACATGTTATTTACTGACATGCAACGAATATGTTCACAGATTGCCGGAAAAGGATCTCATTAATTTTTTATTCTTGTGTGATTATATTTACAGACTGAGAACTAATATAAGGGATTAGTTCCATGCTCAGATCAACGAATAAAGGCTTCTATCCTAAGAAAAGAGTGTTTAAAATATTCGAGCAATAGCCACTAATATTATATGGATCATAGATAAACAAAGATTATAGACACTCGTTTACGGAGCAGCTAACAGACCACACAAAACTCAAAAGATAATTAGCTGTACTTGTATTCAGATAACGAAAACGGGAGGCTCCTGAACGTTTCAGATATCTCATAAAATAAGCGATAGTTAAATATCCGAGTGACGCACTCACAAATCTTTCCTTTTTTGCACACAATTTATATACATTGAATAATAATTGATCTACATTTTATTTTTCTGCTGTCATTGCAAAGGTCAATAAAGGAGCCATTGTCCAGCCACAAATTCTGCAAGCCTTAGAGATTATAAAAAAGTGTTTTCTAGTGTCACCACATGAACTGAAATTTGCTCTGTAATTGTTTTATTGTAAATTTTTGATGTCTCTGTAACTGTGTAATTTGTGTTTACAATTAAAGTTGTGAGACTTTGAGCTAGCTAACCAAAAAAAAAAGCGCGGTTCTTTTGAATTTAATTTTTTTTTCTTTTGCACTAAGTTATTTTGTGTCATGAAATAATAAATCAAAACACCCCTTTATTTTAAAAAACGTACGAGTATGTTATGTCATCGATAGGTTTTTAACTACGGCAAGGATTTTAATGAGGTGTGACATGAATGTCAATAAATCGGCAACTTAACGATCAAAATAACCTCAAGACAACCAAAGTCTTCTGCAATAGACAGGTGGCCCAGTCTTTATAACATATGCCTGTCTTTAAAGCCATTGTGCTTGCAGCCTGTAATGCCTGTTATCAAGAAGGATTGATGTGCCGTATTATCAGTTCTTTATGATATAGCAGTGTTTATCGAAATAATTAAGAATATATGAACGAAAATCCCAGGAGCATACATTATTTTGTAACCCATTCCTTTGAAATATTTCAAATAGTTTTAGGGAGCTAAGAAGGCGTTTACTGGACAATGGATATTTATTTCACGTGAAATGAATCCACAGGTAAGGTGCATAATGATAGACAAAATCTGTTCTTTACGACTTTCAAAAGACGGGGAAAAAGACTCGAATGCTGAAGCCGGTGAACAATATTTTTCAAATCTGAGCATGTAAATTGAAAATTATGTTATATAGATTACATGTATAACATTAGATTAGCAAAAATAATAACAAGAGATTCCGAGATAAAATACAAAATTTTCAACCAAATTCCACGTGTTTTTAGGTGATAGTAAACTCGTAGTAGCCCACAATTCATTGTGACTCATTGTGCCGATTGGTTGATTTCTCACGAATATGTTTAATAAAGGCAACAGTAGTATACCGCTGTTCAATAGTTACAAATCGATTAAGCAAAAACAAATCCGGGTCACAAACCAAAACCAAGGGAAACACATCAACTATAAGAGGAAAACAACGGAACAACAGAAACACTGAACTACTACAAAAACAAACGCCAACATACATAGAAACGGACTATTTGATAACAGCTGCCATATTCCTGACTTGGTACAGGACATTTTAAGAAAAGTGGTTGGTTGAATCTGGTTTTATGGCTAGCCAAACTTCCCGATTATATGGCAATGTTAAAAATACCGATAAAATGACAACATTACGTGACAGGAACACAGTACAAATAAACGCAAGAACACTCAGGACAGAGAAATACATAAATAAATAATATAATAGTACATTACAACATGTAAACCACAGAATAACAACGGACACCTCCCATCAATTTTCGAGAGTACACCAGTACACCACAATAGAAATATGAACTGTGCGTCACATGAATGTATCATCGCAACAAAAAATGACGTATTTTTTTTGTGACGTTTATTTCATCACAGGTAAATTTACATTTGTATTTGGGAAATTACTATGCAAATGTTTTCTGCGTCAGATTTCGACCTGTTTATATTATCAGTTACCGATGTAGATAGTAAACTAGGAATTGATGGTAAAAAGTGAATAATATAATTTCTAGTAAATTTCTATAAATATATCACAGAAAAACGCAAAAATTAATTCAATTCAGAATTAAAAAAAACCCAAAATAACGGATTTTGTAAAAAACTGGATCCCTCCCTATTAATGCTTGGTACGATTCATCTGAGGACCACATCGATTTTGTAAACAAAACAAGTATCACATTTCCTTTATTCAGTAGTTTGAGCTTCTTAGATTAAGAGTATGGCCTATTATACTTACATTACGTTTATTTGAATGTTGAGTAGATGGAAATATCGGTCATTAATCAGGGTGCTCTAATCATCATCGAGATGCACGATGGGTAATCACACAGAAACTATATAAATCCTTGATCAAACAGCTAAATGATGTTATAAATAAAGGAAGTTTTTGGATACTGTTGATTGATTCCTGATAATCTTTTTGTTATCCGCTCAATCCCGAACTACCAAAGTATACTTACTCATAAACTCAACATATATAGCAGGATTAATATTGTGTATGCCAGACACACGTTTCGTCTACAAAGGAGTCGTCAGTGACGCTCTTATCAAAAAGTTTAATTAGAATAAAGTACGAAGATAAAGAGCATGTTTTCTCACTAAAATTGTTTAATTACTTATTTATCCCTAGGAGATACCATGACTTCTGATTTAATACCGCTATATGAATTTCAATGTCAAGAAGAAATATTGACACACTTTATTGCAGCGGCCGAACATATTAGTAATTGTGAATCAATACTGCTAACATATAGTGCAAAACAAACCCGCCTTAAACAATCATACTACTTATTTCGAAAGAAAGTACTTGATTTTGACTTAGAGGAAGAATTTTGTGCGTTTAAAATTAATGCGGACAACATTTATACGTGCTATGCAATTAAATATCTCACATAATGTGTATTACGGTACACAGGAATTTCTGGAATAAAAAATATTTTATTTGGAAAATTATATCGAAGCTTTAGTAACCATATACAGTTGTAAAGAGATATTCATTTTAAACATGAGATTAGAAACTTCGAGAATAAAAGGGCAAAGAAAATGTTTAACTATATAAGAAAACGTGATTTTCCCTTTGGTAAAGAACCACGTTTCAAGCTTACAACTGTTCATTGACTTCTACATGTTTTAATGAATCAGGACTTAACATAAAAATACTTGAATGCCATTGCGATTTAGATCCATTTTCTTTAATTTGATATGTTTATCATTTAGCAAAGAGCTTTCACCTCCTAACATAACTTAACTTAACTTATCGAAACAAACATTGTCCTATTTACAAGGTAACTTTAAAGTTCGTGTACATATCTTTACTTCAGACATGTCTGGCTCAAACGGGGCGATACAAGTCGAATTTAATAACTTCACTCTAAGTTGCTTTCAAAACATGTCCTATCGTAAGTTAATTTTTGCGGCTTTAAAAAAACTGCTTTAAAGTCCATTTGTTCGAACGCCACTGATGAGTCTTATGACTTAAGTGTTGCGCAACTAGCCATGTGTCTAGTATCTTTGATCAGTTATTGTAACTGAGTCTTCTTTTGTGTTAAATTGACAGCTGTCCTACGATCGATTAAAGATCTTAAAACCTTTCGCAAGTTAACATTAACAGTGAACATTTCTGGTCATGAATTAAACGTTCTGTAAGGTTATGATCACATCAGTCTAAATATGTTTTAAACTGTAACCGTCAGACAGGACAATCTTTACTGAATTAAAGACATATCATTGTTACTTGTGTCAATGGAAGTTTCAAACCGGAAATGCATTTTTTAACAAATGTTCCTGAATGTTTGGGTAGCATATTGTCGCAAATTATTTTTATGAAAACAATAAAATACTTCAACTTTAAAAGAGGAGGCCTGGACCTTTGATTTGTCACATATTAAAGAGTGAAAACATAAAGTCCCTAGGAATGAAATATTGATACTTTAAGAAAACTTTGATGTTATCTCGGATGAAGCTTTTGCAGTTTCATGTTCAAAACATTTTGATGCATTGATTATTTGTTTTTGTATTTCTTTCATATTAACATAAAATGTCTGAATAACATGCTTATGAACCCTTAAAAAAGACCATAGTCTCCATGACTAAATGTGTCCGAGCCATGGATATTTAAAGTTTTGTACATTTCCTGGTGTTTACATTCTCTTTGATTGTAACAGTATCAATGCTGCACATTCTAATGGTGTACACGCTAGTTCCTTCGACTTATGAATATCATGTTATGGCCAGTTACATTTTTTTCTGTTGACGGTTTGTCGTAATATTTAAACAAAACAATTGAAATTTTATGTTTTTATGTCACAAAATGAAAATAATACCGTTACATTTATTTCGTCGGAGTCTCTTTTCTGGGAGGTCGTTCCTCAGTGACTCTGAAATCCCACAAGGTTAAAGAAAAACAACAGTTGAATAACCATTCATTTCCGCTTTCTAGTACGGTTGTTAGTTTATCATATGACAAGTTTTAAATTTGACAATTTCAAATTTCACACTATCATGTGTCGGAATGACCAACAAGGACGACTTTACATTTCAACGACTTACTGTAAAAATATTCGGGTTTGTAAATGGCAAGGTCGGGTCAGATTTCAAGCGGATTTGTCGAATTGTTTCAATTAAGTAACGAAGCACCGCTTTGAGTCAAGGAACATTTTCCACCCATCTGTGTACTTCTACCTTATATTGATTAATTTGTTTAACCTATAACAAGCTTTGACTTTCGACTAGATAAATCCCCAATATTTTATTATTCTTACTGTCATTCATGATTGAGACTATTTCATTCTTACTGTCATTCTTGATTGAGACTAATTTTTGTGTGTTCGATACTTGATACGAAGATCATATTGATTTGTCTCGTACCTTTTCCTTGTTCTGTTTTAACAGGTAATTATAACTTTTAAAAAAACGAAAGTAAAAATAATTATAAAAATTACTTAAACGCTTTCCCTTTAAGGCTTTTTGAAAAAACCTTTAATTTAAAACCATAAAAAATCGTATAAATTGCAGAACTTCAGCCCCACTAAAATAAACAACTTTACAGTATGAATAACTCAAAACACTCCATTCACGTCACATTCACTTGTATATGTATGTTTTGATAACACATTGAATGATAATTCCTTCAGAGTTGTTGAAGTTTTGTTAATGGAACAATTCGTTTGATGTGTTTGAGTTTTTGATTTTGCCATTTGATTATGGACTTTCTGATTTGAATTTTCCTCGGAGTTCGGTATTTTTTGCTATTTTACTTTTTACAGAAAGATCTTGTCGTTAGAAACATGAAAGGTGTTCTTTACAAATTCAGGTCTTAAGTAATAAAACACACAATGAAACTGTAATAAAACATCTATGAACATCAGTAAACAACTTTATGTCTTTTCTTGTTATTCGTCGTATTTTGAAGATTAGATATCAACATATTGAAAATAGCCACAAAAAGACTCTACTTGAATTGCTCAATCTATAGTTACGGTCCAATATAATTGGTTGGTCCTGCTACCCAATAACCAAGTGGTTATTGTATAAATGGAGCTGATGCATCATTTCACATGTCGATTGATGAAAAACTAATTTGTTGTCACAAAAATCAGGCTTTAAATACTTCCTATAGCTATCATTATAATAAGTACCTAATTGCACAATACGGTCATTATCACCTACAAAATGTACAAAATTTATGTTATCATTATATACAGACAACCATTCTGCCATAGAAGTACCGCCATATTCAGTTTCAATCAATTCGTCCTTATTTTTGCATTCACTTTCACTGCAATAAGTCTTTTTAGAAATAAGGGAAATGAGATCCATTCCCAAAACTAGAAACATATCATCAATTCTGTTATTCCTGTCAATCTGTTTTCTCTTGCCGTGTCTCCATCCATAATATAGAGTTCCGGATTTCAAACTATCTAATCTTTGAAAAATCTGAGGAACACATACAAAAGCATCGTCGTCGATTCGGGCCCCCATAAGAGCGTATGGATATACCTTATAGATATAATGCCACCACACGTACATTTTTTCACCAAATTTTACAGCTTGTCCATTGTGTGATACATTTAGATACACTATGTCATTGTGCAAGTTATTTTCTTGGATTGACTCAGAAGATGGGTTGTCTAACAAAAACTTATATGTAACATTGAAAGGTAATATATCCTTTAAATATAACATTGTTTTAATCCAAGTGTCTCTTTGAGTAACCCGAAAATGATAATTCTTTTGTTGACTTAAAATTCCTAATATAATGTGAGGTCGGTTCTCTTTTGAGCCATTCGTTTTCGTAGATTTGTCAAATTGTCGGATATAAAATAAACCAGAAAACACAAAATATAGCAGAAAAAATCCACTTATTATTTTAGGAATCCGTGTTTTGTACAAACATTTGATGACTTTAAAAAACTTTCTATTAAAACTCATTTTGCAAATGTCGACTATTCACAAAATTGATATTGAATTACAAGATTATTGATTAACCAAATTTTCCTAACCGTCAAGCGACACAGCATTATATATATATCGATGGTCTTGATTTTCTGAAGACTTCTCCATGCAGCAACAATTAGGCGTATCATAAATATTTCTACAGATGTTTTGGATCTGAAATTTATCAAATAAAAATATATCTCCATTCATTTATCCAAGTTATCATGAGATTATCAAAAATCTATTTCAAACAATATTACTCTTATATTGTTTTCAATGGATAATTCAAGATCAAATTCATTTTATTAAATTTTATGTTATTTGCTGATTTAAGCAAATTTGAACATGACCCCCAGCTTTCTAGGTTTTCTTCCTCATTATCTCACATCAGCTACGGCATAACAAGCAGCTAATCAATGTAAAATTCTTAAGAATGTTCTCGCAGAAGTTGTTATATTGTTGAAAGTCAACCATGAATCGAAATAAACTACCTATATCACTTGCAAATGGTGTTGCTATATTTTGACGGGTTGTTTTGAATTAAAATCTAAAAGTGTATTGTTACTATTATTTTCAATGACTCAAATAAATAGTGACGAATTCTATTTGATTGTTTGTTGAAACTAATGTACAAGTGTTATAAATCAGTAATTTGATAAATCAAAATGGTATGCATATATCATAAAGGAAAACCAAAAGATATCAAAGGGACATTCAAACTCATAAGTCAAAAACAAACTGACAACGCCATGGCAAAAAGTAAAAACGACCAAAAGACAAACACCAGTATACAAGAATGTCACCTGCATTGGTATACACCTACTAGGAATTCGTTATTATTCGTTGGTTACCAATTTTTTTTAAGAATTTCTGGGATACAGGTGAACCTCAAATTTAAATGTTTAACAAAATATAAATTTCTATATACATGCATACAGACTTTGTCAAAACCACGAAATTAAATATCCATGAAAATGCAACTTTTTCACAATCCACGAAAAATCACCCGCACGAAAATATATGAATCCTACTTTTTGTTAGGTTTTTTTTAAGGTTTTCTGGGTGTCGTCTTTTAGAATGGTCAAGATAAGAAACGTTCTCCGATGTGTCTAAACAGTGTTTCAATCCAGTCGGACGTGTCGTTCAAATTAGCCCGAGTTGCCTTTTCAAACTGGCCCAAGTTGTCTATAAAAATGGCCCAAGATGTCTTCGTCCGAGTTGTCCTGATTCCCAACTCTTCGTTTTTTGTTCTTTGTAGATTGTTTAATCATTGATCAGGCCGTTAGTTTTCTTTTGAAAAGTTTCACGTTTTGCAATTCCAGTATCTTTAATAGCTTATAAAACAGTACATTTTTCCATTGTTGAACTATTGGGATGGATATATCATTGGCGATCAAATCACAACTAATTTGTATATATGTGTATTGTGATGGTAGCGAAACTAATAATTGGTATTGTGAATTCAGAGAGGAGTTGTTCACTAACTCATAATTAATTTTGGCCCTTAAAATATGATAATTTCAAAATGCGATAATGTTTGAAAATTTTCTGAAAACATATGTAAAAGTGTAGAATTGTTTCAGTTAAAAAAGATTTCACCGATTGTGTCATGTATTTGTGACGTCATGGATGATGATGATTTTCGTTAAATCTGATTTTTGGCATAATTTGGCATAAATAATGGCAGTTTTAGGAAGATTTAACAGTTGCACTACCCATATCTAACAAATTTTTCTGCTAGAGTATTTTCTATGTACTATATTTTAAACCTTTGAACCAAAATTTTAATAGACAGGTGGTGGCGCCACATATGAAAAAGGTCATAAAAATTAAACATATCCAGAGAAATGGACTAAAATGAAATCTACGCTCATTTCATGCTAACATATTTATAGACATGAAGCTGATATACAAATGTTCTTATTATACTTACGAATACAACAAATTTAGCAATACATCCACACAGATATACTAAAACAATTTAATAAAAAAAATACCAATTTACAGGGTCTTTATTGGGGTTACTTGCTGTGCTCCTTTGCGCAGTATGTGTTATTGCAGCTGTTAAAAAATGGACACAAAATCGCGTTTTAATTATCATTATTCAGGAAATGATTAGTCGGCAGTAACATTTTTCTAGTTGCTTCGTTTCCCATTTCGTACAGTCCTCTCATAGTTTTGAACTTGGTTTTTTTTTATTTCTAAATACTTTGTTCCTAATAGTTAATAGAGATATGTTTTAATCGAGCGACACTTATGAGTCTTGTGTAGACGAACTGCGCTCATGTGTACAATAGTGTAAGTCTGGTATCAATGATGACTTTGATAATCATATAAAAAGATGATTTTAAATATTTTTGGACTTTATATTATAAATAGATTACGAACGATATATTCCCTATATTGCCTTCTTTTATAAACCATTACTATGTCGAAGATAAAAAAATTCTATATTTACATATATATTTTTTTTCAGAAATTACAACAGGTATGTTTGTTGTATTTTAATAGACAACTACCTTACCCTATTCCGACAAATATAAATAATGCAGTCACCTTTTAGATAAACAAAGATACCAGGATTAAATTTTGTATTTACGCCAGACGCGCGTTTCGTCTACAAAAGACACACCAGTGACGCTCGAATCCAAACAAGTTAAAAAGGCCAAATAAAGCACGAAGTTGAAGAGCATTGAGGACCAAAATTCCTTAATGTTTTGCCTAATACAGCTAAGGTAATCTATTCCTGAGGTAGAAAAGACATAGTATTTCAAAATTTCAAAAGTTTTGTAAACAGTTAATTTATAAATATGACCATATCAATGATAATTCATGTCAGCACAGAGGTGCTGACTACTGGACTGGTAAATATAACTCCTAAACTTTCGATCACGATTCTCGTACTCATATCAATCAATCAATCAAAGTACCGATTTGGTGTTTATGGTACATTTTTTTGTATTCCGAAAACTTGGTTAAGCTTTATGACCGAAAACCACGACGACTGGTCAAGTCTGGAGCAGCATTATAATCAAGACTGGTAAAATTTCAGACATAGTAATAAGAAGATGTGGTATGAGTGCCAATGAGACAACTCTCCATCCAAGTCACAATTTGTAAAAAGTAAACCACAATAGGTCAAAGTACGGCCTTCAACACGGAGCTTTGGCTCACATTGAACAGCAAGCTATAAAGAGCCCCAAAATGACTAGTGTAAAACAATTCAAACAGGAAAACCAACAGTCTAATCGATATAAAAACTAGAAACACTTATGAACCACATGTCTATAAGGTTGGGCAAAAACAGATACCGATAAACTAAATTGCTTGTTTGCTCTAAATATTATTAAGCTTACGTTTAAAGTAATAAAAACATATGTTCAAAATTAACTAGCGTATGGTCTATGACCGCTTACACCTTTATGCGATGACAGTACATATATCCTAAATTGATATAAGGAATACATCATAAAATTTGAAGATTATTTAATTACAATTATCAATCTAAATTGACATGTCCTACTAACATAATAATTACTTACATCTTTTTCACTTCAGTTTCGCTCTCAAAATTTCATATTACTTCATATTCGGTTATCATTATGGCAATACTATAAAATGACTGATTATTTTCTGCACTGTTATTGATTCGATGTTAGCAGCATTAGCCTCTGGACTCGAAATGTCGAGATTTAATTCAATAATCTATATTCATATATTATGGAAAAAATTGAAACGGGCGGGTCGCAAAGTTTTGAATGAATTATTCGTATTCTTCAAAAAACCAACTTTGCACAATAGAGTTGCGTGAAATCATACGTGAACTCTTCGTTTCTTAGTCCTGGTGTAGTTCTGCAAGTATTGATGAGATTTATCATTTCCCATCCAAGCACTTATCATGCTAACGCTATTGCAATGTTATCTATAACACTAAAAGTTCGTAGGAGGCATAAACGAGATATTGACCACATATATTATATTGTGACGAAAAGTTAGGTATACAACTTGACTTAAAGTGCGTATCCGTCTGTTGGTGCTGTGTTGTTGGGTGTAAAGGTTTCAGGTCGTGCCTTTCACTCGTACACGGACGACAAATGCCAAGTATACTCTATCACAGGGTTACACTAGAAATATACTGGTAGCGTGATTAAGGGAATCCTGGTCACATAAATAAATAAATGGATCCTGGTATAGTCTGAACGAAATCTTGTAAGTGAACATAAACACGAAATCGAATAAAAGTTCAATACTGTATTATCAAAATCACACGACTATGACAAAGTTACAAGTATAACAAAATGTACATCTAATTTCAGGCTCAACAATACGGTTCTCCTCTCTACTATAAACGTAACTGTCCTCTCCTCACTATAAATTCTCTCTATCCCCTATCTCACGCTCTTTCTCTCTTTTATATCACTCCTACAAGCCCGTGTACAAATATGGACTACTAGGACAACCGGGCTCCGTGTATTCCGTGCTCCGGAAATCCGGGCTCCTAGTGTTCCGTGCTCCTTACAATAATTTACTAGGGCAGCATATGTAAATCATTAGGGCTCATTAGTCAAACAAAGAAATCTAAATATAACTCTTAATTAATATCTCTGATGATCTCTAACTGTATTAAATGGCTATTTGTGAAAATACAAATGTAGGTAAACCTGATACAATTACATAACACACTTGACCTTACATATAAAAATGTTACAATATTTTTTTTTCTTTTTAAGCTATGGCATTGTCTGTTTATTTTCGACTTGTGAGTTTGAATGTCCCTCTGGTAGCTTGCACCTCTCTTGATATGATAAGGTCATGGATATAGATTTTTTTTCGACGGAAATGAACTGGTATTTTCAAATTACAACTGTTAAATGGAAAGCTGTTGAGTTACATGTAGCCTGTTTCAATTTGTAACAAAAATCAAACATAATTAATTTGTAGGTCATTTTCAACCAGAAAGTATGGTAAAGATGTATTTTAAACATTATATATGATCGAATCTTCTTTACCAAGTGTTACGTATTGTGACTTTAGTAATTTAATTGTTAGAGGAAAATCATTACTGATTTGTTCTTTTTGATGTCCCTTTATGAACGTAATTGTTTTTCCTGTACTCAATAAAACCTTCTTCTGTTGAGATGGATCAAGCCATAACAATGCAGATTGTGAACCTTTTTTTACCGAGCAAATACCACCCACCCATCTTACACACACGACATTTGTCACTTAATAATGACAAAAGGACGGGGTATTACCTGATATAACTTTACATTCCATTATACAGACAAAAATACATATAATCCAAATGTAATTTTGATGTTATGTATCAAACGTCAAGCTGTGCAAAATGCATTTCATTTCTAAGAAAAAAACGAGCTGAATTTGATAAATTTATGTTTGGCAAAAATTGGCAGACAGAAACATTTATCTCAGTTATTCTCAATAATAATCCCATCGATATTCACATTCTGGAGCACCTGAGATTACCCCCTAAATTACTTTGTGGGATTCGAGTTGGTCCATCATTAGTCTTCTTTGTTGTCTTTTGTAGACTGTTGTTTGTCTTTTTGTACGTTTGTCGTTTATTATACTGACGTTGTCAGTTTCACTTCGACTTATGAGTTTGGAAATCCCTTTGCTATCATCCACCTCTCTTTTATGATAGAGTACATTTTATCATTCAAAATGTATTAGTCTTATATCTATCGAATAATAAACTTCATACCTGCAGATATAACATTTATTCCGCTGTTATAAAATTAATGCAATATAATACATTGGATTTTTTCCGATATCTCGATATGCATTGATCATTGTTCATTTTAGTATTCATGCATGGTTAATTATTATACTTTTCAATGAATATGGTAATCTTTAACCAAAATATTGAAATCACAAATTCATTTAAAGTTTTTGATACAGTTACTTGTATCCTTGTAACGTGTATCTTATTCAGTTATATCATTTCGGTACTGCCATGATTAATAACAAACTTCTGAGAAACAGTTTTGGCATCTTTATGATTCATAAAGCATAACATATAGAAATAGAAAACGTGTGTTAAACTGACACAAATGGCTATCCATAGAAAAAATAATTGCACGATTAAAATTTAAACCTTATAACTGTAAGCCATTATCGTACTAATATTAGCGGTGTTTAATTTTCAAACTCTACAAAAGGCTGAAGTAATCAAACTATGCACGTCAATTGGCTGTCTAAACAAAAACAAACATTATTAGTTACATAGTGTGCTAGTGACCTAATACGATATATATGGGGTGAGAGCGAAGCTCGAATCCCCATATGGAATTTACTGACCCCATATATATCGTATAAGGTCACTAGCATACTGTAATGGCCTGACCATTAAGTATAACCGACGATTGGGCTCAAACAGAAAAGACTATCAGGTGCTGATACTTTAATTATGAACCAATCTGACATATGGTAAAAAGCTGAAATACAAAATAAAATACAAATTTACAATGTGTAGAATAAATGTTAAAATGAATGAAAAGTAAAATATAATTGATATCACAGTCCGTTGAATGCGAGAAAATGTTGTACTCTCAAGAACGGTTAAATTTCCAGTATTTCACGGTGAAAAGGTTCATATATATGAAGAGCAATTTGAAGGCTTCAGATACAATGCTATAAAATTAACTTACTCTGTGGTTAGCCAGGAGTTGTGTCAAAGATGACGTTTGTCCTTAGAATGTTCTCCATTACTGGGATGACCTTGCAATTCAGTTCGAGATACGTGTAAGAAAGAGAAAAAGGTAACGATGATACGATGTTTTAAAGTTCTTACAACTTCTTATAAGGTTTAAAGATGAATAATCCTCCTAGACTGGAACTCATAAACAGATTAAGAATATAATCAAACGAACTATATAAATTGAGAAAAGGCGTAACAGAATACATACTATGTAACGAATTTATCTTACCGACTATCTTAACATGTGGTATTTAGACTAGTGGCCTATCAAAGTGACCAAGCCTTCAATACCGTTAGTATTAAGAGCCTACTTCCATTGGTCTATACAAAAACAAAAGCCAACAATAACAACTTGTTAGCTTTAAATGTGTTTTATGAATTTATTTCAATCGTTCATAATCAATTTCTTCGTCTGTTGAAACCTTTAAGATTTTTCCTCAACACTGTGTTGTTTTTATAAAGGAACGTTACACCACTACTAACCGTGTATTGAAATAAGCCCCGCCTACTAACCCAATATTGAACCCTACTAACCCAATATGGAATATACACGGTCTCCACGAGGTTGCTTTCAACCAATCGTATTCCTAGAAATGTATAGGAGGTAAGATAAAATAAAATACAGGATTAAACTAGTTTAAGATGTTAAATATTAACTTAAAGAATCGGAAAATGTACTCACACTATAGTTTAGCAATTGAAAGATTGCGCGAAATACGAATTATCGAAAAGGGAAACACTATCTCGCTCGACAGTGCCATGTGAGAATATTGATAAAAATATTGAATGCTAGTACGTGTAACAAACAGTAAAAGCACAGGTAAAAATTCGAGAGCCTCGATTAATCTAATATGAGTCTTAAAAAATAAATCGCAAACATTACATTGCTTAATGTGACTTGTTTTTATTACATGCATTTTAATAGAATTTCAAAACATTACATTGTTATTGGCAATTATTAAATCACAGATCACTTGCCTTGGGTATTTCATATTTTGTATTTCAAAATGAAATGTGAAATTCGAAACAACCACCGCCTCGATGGTCTTATGGTACAATGCGTGCGACGAGGTCGTGGGTTGGGTCCCAGTTGATAAAAACAAAGGCTTGAAAATTTGTATTTGGTGCTTCTCCGCTAAACACTCAGCAATTGGGAGTAAGAAAGAAGTCCGATCGGCAAGGAGTCAGAATAGTGTATATCTGTAGGTTAATGCGTTCTGGATGACTCTTATCTTGTGTACTAACACGAAAAATCTGTCTTTAAGCCACGTTATTTAGTCTCGTTTTGATAGATATCTCACTGACAATCTTCTTACCACTTATCTTTATTATTTTATTCAGTGTGTTGGTCTTGGGTTCATACTCATATCACATGAACACGTTCTCGTTCTAATTTGTTATGATATGCATGTAATAATTGCCATAGGACGTTAAAGGGGCATTAGATGTTTTTTTTAGATAAAAATCAAAAAACGATTATTATTTGTTTTCTAACAGCTCTATAGGCGGAATAATGAAACAATATTATTAATGTTTCGCTTCTAGAAGTCAGTTTGGTTCAATTTGGTAAACATAAGATCGGAAACATAGCAATAGTTATCAAAGGTACCAGGATTATAATTTAATACGCCAGACGCGCGTTTCGTCTACATAAGACTCATTAGTGACGCTCAGATCAAAATAGTTATAAAGCCAAACAAGTACAAAGTAAAGAGCATTGAGGACCCAAAATTCCAAAAAGTTGCAAATGTCTATTAAAATGTAAAGAATGTCGGTAGTGAAAAGTGAAATAAGGGAGCCACCATAAACAAAAACCAATTTCTTTGACCGATTCGACCCACAAGAAATCATTCATATTCAGGTAAAACTATGATTTCAATACTAGTATTAATGTTTTAAATCTATGAAATGAATTTAAACAGACATGGATAAATCGTAGTTACACAACTCCATTTGCTTCTCAGTCTATTTATATTTATGGTTATTTGTATATCGGGTCGAATGACTATCGGCGGTCTTCGGAGGTAATATCGCTGTTTAATTAGATGGCGTCTGGTTTAAAATACGCATGTAATACAGATACATTATATCGAGTCCATGCACTGTTAATTGTTATATTTTGGACTTTTTGTAATTGGATTTGTGTTTTAGTATGTTATGAATCAAATTTGAGAATTTAAGTCAAATCGGCGATCGAGAATTTAGCAGCTAATGTCCCTTTCAACACATATATAACGATTTACTGCTACAGGTCAAATTTGAAACGGAAACAATTAATTGAAGGTGTTAAGTAATGTGTGGTAACGAAATTACTGACATAATAATTTACCAGGTACTCACCGTACGAAGGCGCCAAAAAGAACATCCCTTGTGAATTAAGAACAATCAACAATAGGAAACTAACAGTAATCTCTTTTGTGATAATTTGTAGAAAAGTGTTTCCGATATGAAACAGAAATATCCAAAACAATATTGTTGTTAACATAAAATAATTAGTTCATCTTGGATAAATTTCTGCAGAATCGTTATACAATCATGATTATTTAAAGCAAAAGTATCAACAAGATGGCGGTTTATAAAATTGAGAATGGAAATGGGGAATGTGTCAAAGAGACAACAACCCGACCATAGAACAGACAACAGCAGAAGGTCACCAACAGGTCTTCAATGCAGCGAGAAATTCCCGCACCCAGAGGCGTCCTTCAGCTGGCCCCTAAACAAATATATATACTAGTTCAGTAATAATGAACGCCATACTAAACTCCAAATTGTACACAAGAAACTAAAATTAAAAATAATACAAGACTAACAAAGGCTAGAAGCTCCTGACTTGGGACAGGCGCAAAAATGCGGCGGGGTTAAACATGTTTATGAGATCTCAACCCTCCCCCTATACCTCTAGCCAATGTAGAAAAGTAAACGCATAACAATACGCACATTAAAATTCAGTTCAAGAGAAGTCCGAGTCTGATGTCAGAAGATGTAACCAAAGAAAATAAACAAAATGACAATAATACATAAATAACAACAGACTACTAGCAGTTAACTGACATGCCAGCTCCAGACTTCAATTAAACTGATTGAAAGATTATGTCTTCATCATATGAATATCAGGCACAATCCTTCCCGTTAGGGGTTTAGTATCATACCATCATAACATATATGAGAAGAACATAACCCGTGTCATGCCAACAACTGGTTTTTAAATAAATGTGTTTAGTGCCGATGCAAAGACCCTATAAGTGAATCAATATTAACGCCAAAATATGCAATCTTTAATGACCTGACAACAGTATCGTAACTATATCCCTTCTTGATAAGTCTATTTAAAGGTTTTGTTAGTTTCAGAGGTGAATACTGACATTTTTGTGCTTTATAAAGAATATTTCCATAAAAAATTGGATGTGAAATACCTGAACGTATGTATTTAATTTGTTTTCATCCAAAATAATTCAAACAGAGTTTTTCTGACATAGCTTTGATTTTTATTTAGATATCTAATTACATGAAAAGGATGGCTAAATGGAAGATTGTAAGAGTTAACGTCTAAATTCGATATTTTCATATCGATGAATAAGTTCCCAGTCTCTTAATAATGCGTATGCGAGATCATATCCAGGGGATGATAAGATATTTCTAAACATTTTAACGGGTTTTTTGAAGGGAAAAAACCCTTTATGATGTCGCATTTCTATCTTGAAAGCTGTTGCCACCATCCCAATGTAAACATCTTCTATTTGGATTAACCGTACATGTCCTATCCCTGTTGAAAGCATGTGTATTGTTTTCATATTTGTTAATATGGTTCCTCCTATAATATAAGACGGGAAGTATAGGAAAGGATAATCTTCAAATGAAATATAATTTTTTGAAGTCAAAGATCTGTCTGGTCGGGACAAATATACCATAAAACCCAACATAACCGTATCTGATTGAGCAATGTTTTGTTTGGCTATATCATACACATTTATTGCGTTTACTAAACGATCATCATCTACACAGTGTACATATTCAGTCCTGATATTATGTTTCGACAAGGAAAGCAATGCATACACAGTTTTATAAACTAAATTTTCATATTTATCTTCTATATTGAGTTGAATTACATCCTTATGCCGTTTTGATTCCCAATCAAGAAAATGGTCCATATTGTGTGATTGACCAACAACAAAGACAGTTTTTATTCGAAGGTTTTTCACATGTCCCCACGTCTTACGAATAGCTTCTCGTTTACCAAAATTAAGTATGTGTGATTTCACAACAAACAATAATTGAATGGATTCAAATTCTTCAAACACTTCCATCGGATCTTCTCTAAATACTTTATCCAGCAAAAATGAGTTCAATGGCACGATATTTGATCTTCCATTTTCTTGAATATCAGATAAGATTTTGTCAGTATTGTTCCAAAATAATTTTCTTTTCTCAAAATATATCGAGTATTGTAGACCTTTCAGTTGGAATAAGACGAATCCACACATGAAACAAATAGAGCATTGTAATCTGCAATGAAAAATGAAGAAAATTAAGTTATGTCGAATTAATATATTGATTTTGAACAAGATAAAATTAACAAAATTGTTAAGGAACCGCTTTCTGTCTTCAAAATTGTAGAATGGTCTTTATTTCTGTGTGTCACTTCGGTAGTCTTTCATGGATGGCAAATTATATCATGTAGTTATATATCTTAATTAGAATATATCTACATTTAAGTATTCGTAGAGATGTTTTATATAAGGTTGTAATTCTCCACTATAATTCCTAGCATGAACTAGTCGCCGGTCCAACCGTTTTTTTGCATACTTCAAATCATGCGTTGGGTCTGTTAATTTCAATTTCATAACAATTCGTGTAAAACACCGTTTCAATTGTCTATTCTATTACTGTTTGACTACAAATTGTTCAGATCTGTAACACGTCGTTTTTTGTATTTCTTGAAGCATGATACAGTTAGATTTTCCGTTTTTTTTTTAAACTCAGATAGCCAAAACAATTATTTCAAATACCAGATATACATTTCCAAGGATACAGGAACCCTAATAAACGGCCCTGTAAAGATGTTATTTTTTTATAATTTCAATTATTAAAGTAAATCTAATAGTCTATGATTTGCTAAATGTGTGATATTTAAAAGTATGATACGAAATTTGTTTATCTGCTTCATATCTATATATATATTTGCCTGAAATAGGAATGGATTTCATTTTCATCAATTTTTCTAGAAATTTGTCGTCTTTTTCCACATTTTAAAATGAATTTTTATAAGGCACCATTCCTCGCCCATTGAAATTTTTGTTGAAAAGTAAAGAATATGGAATATAAAGAATATTTCAGAAAAAATATTTGTGGGTGAAGAGTGACGCCACTGTTAATTTTTCAGAAAACTGTCATAAATATTGCAGAATCCTGCAAATCGGGTTTTTACGAATTCACCTTCCTTATATCGTCACAAATACGTCGTTGATGAAGCATTTGGGGAAATATGTTTTTAACTGAAACACTTAGACATTTTAAAGTATGTTTTTTTTTTTATCAAATATTCACTTCATTATCACAGTGAAAGATCTTTAGAGCCAAAATTATGAGTTAGTGAACCAACAGGAAGTAGTATGGTAGATGAGTTGTTAGGTTTTTTTAAAAAAAAAAAAAGGGTTAAATTATACAAAGCTCCAGTCCAAGATTAAAGCTTTTAAACAATGTCAAGAAAACTAAGGTGTATCATATTTAAACTATTTCTTTTAAAAAGAAAGCGTGTTACTATGGTGGGATGAAAATATTACTTCTTTCAAAACATAAAAGGTTCTCATGTTACGTAAAACGAACAAGTCAAGGGTAGCAAACTGTTCCTTTAAAAAAAAAGGTCACACATTTTACAACACACAAGTCATAGGTAGCACAAACAAATATTTCCTTTCCAGCAATTTCAATGAATTAAGGAATTTCAGCTTGTTTGCTCTATGCGTAACAATAAAACGCCAATATTTCTTAAAAAGGGTAAATAATATAAGACACACAATTCATAGGTACAAAAATATTCATTTCCTAAACAAATCAAATAATAAAAATTGAGAATGGAAATAGGGAAAGTGTCAAAGAGACAACAACCCGACCAAAGAGCAGAAAACAGCCCACCAATGGGTCTTCAATACAGCCAGAAAATCCCGCACCCGGAGTCGTGCTTCAGCTGGCCTCTAAACAAAAATATGTACTAGTTCAGTAATAATGGACGACATACTAAACTCCGAAATATATAACAGAAACTTAAATCAAAAATCATACAAGACTAACAAAGGCCAGAGGCTCCTGACTTGGGACAGGCGCAAAAATGCGGCGGAGTTAAACATGTTTTTTGAGATCTCAACCCTCCCCTATACCTCTAGCCAATGTAGAAAAAGAAACACACAGCAATACGGACAGTAAAACTCAATGCAAAAGAAGCCCAAGTCCGATGTCAGAATCGGTAATAAAAGAAAGTAAACAAAATGACAATGATACATAAATTAACAAAGGACTACTAGCAGTTACTGACATGCCAGCTCCAGACCTCAATTAAACTGATTGAAAGATTATGTCTTCATCATATGAATATCAAGCACAATCCCTCCTGTTAGGGGTTTAGTATCATACCCTCATAAAATATATGAGAAGAACATAACCCGTATCATGCCAATGTCTTTATGATCAGAGAAATCAGTTTTTGCAATAAAAACTCCCACTTCTAGTATGCCGTTTGCATGAACGCTTACCTAATGATTAGATACACAAGTCAGATTGTGTTAATGCAATTTTGAATTTCAATTCGTTAAAAGAATTGCATTCATATGGTTTCAATGATACCACATCTTCCTTATTTTTATATCAATGTTGCTTTTTTTTAAAAATTTAAACGTATATCTTTACTACTAAAATAACGAATCCAATTTGTTAGCCGGTATGACGTAAAAACGAAGAATCAAAGAATTCAACTTTATATGTAAATAATATAATACAATGGTGTAGATTAAAAATTACACCATTCCAGGCCCTTTAATTTTCCACATAATTAATAGTACAAATAATTAACAAGTTCCGGGTCGAATCCGATACCGATACCAATAGTATATACCACATGTAGTTTCCAGTTGTAGTTTGTATGTATGTTATGTATCTTCCTCTTTTAATAGGAGCACCTTCATGGGTTATGGTGTTAAGGAGGACATTAAACACACAGTATCGGTACAGGTTTAATGTGAGCATTTGCCTACCCTGTTTCACAACCTTGCCAGCTCTTACTAACAGAAAATTAACCTTCCCCAATAGAATAAGTGCAATGCACTAAAAAAAGAACACTCACCTGAATCGCTCATCCTCAAAATATAAAAAAAGAAAAATATAAAAACAAGTAAGAAAACCAGAAAGGGTTCAAACAGAAGGATTTTGAAAGCAGAGAAAACTGCGCATCTTACAATCAGCATGACTTTATCAGATGACAATACGAATACTAAAATTTACTAAAATTAAGCGTAGGTACTTAAATTCAGTCACGGATCCGATACGTTCTAGTTCGTATAAAAAACACCAGCTATGGCATGCAAACTTTTCATATACTAAAAATATCGATAAAATAAGGGCTGTTTGCCATATATATAACGATAAAACATTTCAGGTTAAGATATTGTTACGTCCCGGCGATTTGAGTTTAAATTACTTTTATTGTCGTTTCAACTAGTGCAAATAAGAGAGTTGTTTTTATATATCACTGTCATCTCCGTTCCACACTTGGTACATGCAGATGTCCGTTGTTGCGTTATGTGTTTACAAAATGAATAGTTTACCTGGACCTAACATTTTTAAATGACTTCGTTAAATCCATGTTTTGACTTAATTTATGAGTGTTATTGTTCGTTTTTGTATTTGCTTATATTAACTTTCATTGTAACACGCCAAACGTTACGTAACCTCCATACGGTTAGCAGTATATTTCAAACTGTGATTTGCTATACCACGCAAAATTACTTAGTGATAATACTTCATATATATATAGAATCGATACATTTGTAACTTAACAAAGTCAAAATGCTGAGGTACTGTTTGTTCGGGTAAATAGTAAAACAATGCAGCGAGTATGCCGAGTATCATAATGCAGTACACAAAGTAGATTTCCCTGCACCAATTATGCAGAGTATTATACTAGAATGTAGTGTCCCAAATAGATTTTCTTGTACCGAGTGCTGGCAAAATCGTTTTATCTAACTAGGTGCAAGTAATGCACATATCTGTTATAAACATATTTTAAAATGTATTCTATTTAATGTCGTATGTTTTGCAAAACCATTACATTTTTTGTATTGAATATTACTGAAGCAAATAATAATCCAATTTGTGAACTTCCATTATGATTTTTATTATTACTTCCTTCACTGGAACGCCACATAAATAACGCCTGGAATCCTGACTTGAAAACCCCTGAACGTTATTACACTTGCTCTATAGAAGATACGATTAAAAAAATAATATATGTAAACACCGGTCAAAAAAAGTAAAATAACAAAAATACCGAACTCGGAGGAAAATTCTAAACGAAAAGTCCCTTAGCAATTGGCAAAATCAAAAGCTCAAACACATCAAACGAATGGATAACAACTGTTATATTCCTGACTTAGTAATGGCTTCTTACTTGTATGACAGTCTCATAAAATTCCATTGTATAAAATTATAGATCACAAAACTATTCATTTAATTTACCTAATAGCCATTTCCAATGAACTATTGAAAGTTCAGCTTATAAATGGAGTTGTGATTAAATTTTATCTATTTGTTCTTAAAAATACTAACATATGTTACTAAATGTACGTAACCAGATTCACTTAGTAATATCTTAACTAATTTGTTAATATCTAAAGTAAAACTGAAGATTGCAAGATGAGTGACTTTGTAATGCATTATATAAGCTTAGTGCATATATATCGCTTACTTTATAAGTAGGTGGGTGTTTAATTGAATATCGTTTTGAAATCTTACTGCAATTTATGATTTAAATTTTGCAAATTGTAATAACAGTGTCATAGATAATAATAAAAAAAAAATATACAGAAACTATCATAGAAACGTCACCAATTTCTATTCAAACAGTCATTTTATAAAACTTAGTGAAAATAGTTATGAAATTTACGTGTACAAGAACTGCACTAGTTCATTGTAAAATAAATGTGGCTTACACCAAAATTGTTCACGAGTATTACAAAACAGACACACGGTTACCGATACATATATGTCATATGGACTCTAGTGGACAGTTGTCTCATTGGCAATCATACAACATCTTCTAATTTAATGTCAGCGATATAACAAAATGTTGCCAGAGTGCTCAAGAAATATCCAATATCATGACAAAATAGCTAAAATGTTGTTCAACATTCATAACTGCTCCATTAAAGTTGCATGATTTACTTCTACTTAAACAAGTAACATTAACAGTAATATGGTATTGCAATTAGTGACGACAAAATTTCTGAAACGAACAATGTTTTAAAATTTCTATGAGAGTTTTCTTTTGAAAGAAACGTTGTCATTATAACAGAACTAGTTGAAAGGTTGGTCTTGTATTAGTATCTTATTTTCAAGCCTGTTAAAGAGTTGACTTGTAATGCACTTCTTTCTATTAGTATAGTATAATACTTAATTAGTTTTTGATTACTTCTTCGGTGTTTAAAATTCAAATTTGAAGGTCAATATCGATACACTTATTATATGACCTATTACTTTTTTAATAAATTGAAAACATAAAACAGACCGTCGTCGTAATTTTTGCGGTTAAAGTAAAACAAACAATGTTTGAATGAAGACTTTTTTTTTATTAATTTCAGTACTATACAGATAATGCTAAACTTACAGTTTAAATGGGAAATTCCTCACTCTAAAATAGATTCGTCTATTACACAATCTTACCACCATTTCGATAACTTGTCAATGTAATGTCTTAAAAATAAGATCCTTGGTGAGCTGAAATATATCAAAATAGACATGGTGTCTTCCAATATTAATGATAAATGTAGAAATGTATTTAGATTAGTTAAAATATGATATCATTTTACCCTTCAAAAGATATTGAAATCATCATTTAGAAAACATGAAAAAGACATTTCCACCATTGAAAACTGCTAATAAAACGTTATGGTGTAAAGGTGTATGGTATATAGCGCATGGTGTATGGTGTATGGTTCATTGGAAATAGTTTCTTTTTAATCGGGAAATGTGTGAATGAATGATGTGGAACATTTGATTTGATGAAACTTGTCGTTCTCTTCTCTTTTAATTTACAAATTCTATAAAAAAGAACATGGCGATAGCGATATGAGAATATGTTATCGATTAGGAAAATAAATATTGTTTATCATTGTGATATTTTTCTCAATCATTCAAACCATTGAGCTCTTGGCATGTGGGTTCAATAGAAATTGACATAGGACCCACTTTAATTGATAAACTGATACTTTTAGGTTAATGGTTTACTATTACAATAACATTTTTACTTTTTTATAAAATTTTAGGTAAACCAGTAAAGAACTTTTCAGCCTTTTAAATCCTTTGCATAGCAAATTTTCAACCATTTACATTTGTTGCGATAGATTGTGGAAATATTAAAGACATTTTCAGCCTTTGTATTCATCTGCGATGCTTGTTGATACTGAGTAATGCTAATTAAAGTAAAAGCTTTTCTGAGGTAAACCATTCTTATGTTCCAGACTACCCGTTTGAAATATAACTTTTTAAATATAATCGGAATTAAGCAGTGAAAATTTGGTCTTCTTAATGTACTTCGGTACTGACATGATTTATAACAAACCTTTCTAAAATTGTCTGTTAATAAATTTTGAAATTTGAGGTTTCAACTACTTCAGGCAAAATTGATCTTAGACAATTTTGGCTATATATTTTTAAGTCCTGTATGGTTATATAACTCCTCAACTGTTTAGGTCATTATACATTATTGACTTTCAAAACTTCGGCTTTGAGCGTTTCCGGGGAAGGTTAATCCAAAAAAGCGGTTCGGACGCATGACATTTATAACGTGTTGTTTTCATTTATTAATGGCTTATTTTATACGGAGTGGCTTTTTGTCCGGCTAGTTGGAGGAATAGTGCCAGGACTATGCCCGGCAATGGCAATGCGCATGTCACTTTGTTATATGTGCGTGCGTGCGATTGGGTATTATTATCTTCAGAAGTACATTGGTCGCGTGTAATCCGATCAATGATGTCGAGGTAATTTCTGAAAATGGCAGTATCAATGCCAATATAAGAAATGGAAGCACGATAACAGATGCTCGCATAAAAGCCACAGTATTAATATACATGATAGAAAAAATAGTTTTGTTGTTTTATTTGTTGTTGTGCATGTATATCAAGCTATAGAAAACCTTTAACTCTTGATCTTTAGAACTCAAAAAGTGATGTGTATAAGGCTTTTGTCAAAACTCAAACTTGCAAATAAGTCATTGATTGATGCCCAACTATCTGAGGAAATTTCAACAATTATATTCACTTTCTTTACGTTTGTTGGCCATTGTTAACATAAGTTAAATGATCTCTTTTTAGAGCAGTCACGTCCCCTCCTTCCTGGCTTACAAGTAGCTTCCTAGTCAGATTAACGACATTACTCCTCACGAATCTGTACAATCTAGGTTTCACAACGATTACCGGACACCATAGAGTGCTTAACAAAGCTAGAGCGGCGGAAAGTTTTTTGTGTGTGGATTTGACAAATGACAGCTCTGAAAAGCAGTCGTTGGGAACAGCTTTGGCTTTTGCAGATCCCGACTTCTATCCAAAATGAATGAGCAACAATTAGTTCTTCGGTACCTTGTATGATTACTTAGTATTCAAATATACATTGATATTTTTAAGCAAAGCCAACACTCATTCATTGAAGTTAAAGATGGGTGTGCTATGCAGCTAGCTATAATTTTTGCTATTTGTTTTATGAAAATATATTATTTGGTCAATAGAATAAAACTTTATATCAATGTTGACGCTGCGTTGGAGTCGACCCCCCCCCCCCCCCCCCTGCGAACAACCAACATGTGTGGACAAATGTGCTTCGCGGCCCCTGATTCATTGTCATAAAGTTGCATCCCTGAAAAAAAACCAGTATGCTACGCCACTGCACAGTTATTATAGAACAATACATGCAAATTGAAAAGATCTAAATCTGTTATTTCGAAATAAAATTTTCAGTGTAGTTTACTATTTTTGGAACAAATTATATCAAACTTATGAAAAAGTCAACCAGTCCTATCTCATAATATGGATATTCTGATGTCAATGAGGACTATTTATTGCTGCAATTCTGTTTCAGCTTCAGAAATGATGATTTTTTGCCTTATTTAGCAGGACCAAATCAATATTTTTTCCTGATACAAAATACTTTAGTTCCGAGATAGTCCGTTTTACCATTGGTGATTATATTTTACACACAAACGTCACGTGAAAACGTCAGATATCTATGCATTGTTGGAACTGATTAGGGTGAGGGGTAAACTAGACCTACGTGGTTGGCTTTTCAATTGGAAATCTATTTAAATCATTACATTAAAAAATGTCACGTGATACGAATTTTCATTGCTCTCGCGTATTCATGATCTATTTTTTTTGTATGTAATTTCAACCCACCCCACCCCTTTCATACTATGTTATGTCTTTAAAAATGTTAATGAATATATTGGAAAATATTTGAAAAAAATGGGAAATTATACTGTTCACATTTGACTATATTTGCAGAGGACAATAACTGTTTCCCCAGACCTAATAAAATAGAAAAGCTTGACCAATTTCAATACAACTTGACATGACAAAAGATTATGGAATGATCAAACAAGTTGCATGCTTGGCCTTAGGATATATTTTATAGACAATATAGCCATTTTTATATTTGAACTTTGGGTGTTTATTTTTTCTGTCAAATTGATAATTTCAACAATCAAGATGTGACCCGCAACAATGTTAGTTGAATATTGTAACAACAATGCTTTTAGAATGCCCTTATTTATAATGTAGCATGTATATAAAGGAACTGAACACTAATTTGCTGTATCAGATTTGTTACAACTAATCGAAAGTCAAATTTAGATGAGACTGTGTCTGAAAATATAGTATGGTCTGATACAAATTTTTGTTATCTTTGAGGTTAAAAATGTGCATGTAATGTTAAAATCAACAAGCATACATTTCAACTTCTTACTATCCTATAAAAGAAAATCGTAATTGTAGTAGTTATTTTACTTCATAAAATGTTAACAATCATACTCATTTGATTTCACATTTTTGCCTGTGGTCAAGGATTCGCAATAATAAATTCCCATATTAATTTCTAAAAGTACAGTAGTATATGAAAGGACACATGTACATGAGTCACAATTTGTAAACAATTTGTAAAAAATAAACCACTATAGGTAAAAGTACGGCCTTCGACACGGAGCATTGGCTCACACCGAACAGCAAGCTATAAAAGGCCCCAAAAATGACTAGTGTAAAACCATTTAAACAGGAAAACCAACAGTCTAATCTATATAAAAAACGAGAAACGAGAAACACTAATGAACCACATCAACAAACGACAACCACTGAATAAAATGTTCCTAACTTAGGACAGCTGTAAACAAATGAAGCGAATTTAAACGTTTTAACAGGCGCCAACCTTCACCCTAACCTGAATCAGCAGTCTAACATCACAACATAGAAAGACACACTATAAAATATTTTAAAACAAAATTAATATCTAATATTATCTTCAAACAGACCATTAAAGGGTAATAAATTTGTTTATTATTTTAACCGATCTATGCCGGTCAAATATTTTCAGCCTTGATAATCTGTTCTGGTACTTCTTTGGCTAATATATGCTAAAAGTAATAAAAAACACATATTTTGCTTAAAGCAAATTATTTCTAGGTTTCACAAATATTAATTTGTTATTGCATTATTAGTCCATTATTTAAAATAAAACAGATTAATATCATCTTTTTTTATGGTTTGTTTTAAAACAGATTACTCTAGGACAATAAAACTTTTCAGTTTTCATGTCGATCAAGTATTTGAAATGACTTTCAGATGAGTCAGTTAATTGCAAATCAATATCAGCGACTTGAATATTTAAATGTTTTAAATATTTTCTCGAACATACCATTTTAGGGTAATAACACTACTAATTTGAATGCAGTTCAGTGTCTGTCAAATATTTACAATCAGATTATAAAACTTCCAGCCTTTATGATCTGTTGCTATATATTTTTATATAATTAAACGTTTTGCTAAAGCAAACCATTTTTAGGTATCAAAACTACATTAGTGCTTAGGGGAATGATGTATCGAGAATGATGAATAATGTATGTTGTAATGGTGTACGATGTAAATGGTCCACACCATCCGATATGTTCTTGATGTTAATCGATTTGATAGTATTAGGTTTACAATGTGTTGGATCACACAGGTCTCATTTAATCTGCACGACATAAACATCGATGATATTTTATTTCCTGGACACATCTTCTTTTAATAAAATTTTGAAATCGTATCACGAGTAATGCCTTCTCTATCTAACATTCGAGATCGATTTTTTGCTTTGTTTGATTGTAGATATTTGCAAGAATAAAGGACACAGGCCTGTCATCTTATTGGAAGCATCTTACCTTATTAGCATCCAATGGTAAAATATTAAATGAATATTTAGATCCCTTCAGAAATTAACATGTTAGGTAAGTCCACAGTGCTGAAGGGCGGGAAATTCGAACTGCCACTTCAGAAATTAGGTTTTAAAGTATATCAAATAGGTGCATACATTTGGTCGTGTAAAACATTACCTACAGACCCATAATAAAAATGCTGCTATCGTTCTAAAGGGGCGCTATCCCTACACGAGGTGCAGCGTATCTATACATATATTCATGTCGTGGGATGAACATTTTTCTATTCCACAGTCAAACATTTAGTTTCCTTCATCTGATT